AATTGTGAAGGTTTGATTTTTTTTTTTTTTTTTAATAAAAACTGTGTGATATTTAAAAGGTGGATTAAGAAAAGAATCCTTTTTTTTTATAATACAAAAAACTAGCAGCATAAAATTACTTTTATGTAATGTTTCACTTTGTAGATTGGAAACAAGAGAAGATACTTCCATAAAGTTATAGCGAAACTGCAGTACAGCTTCTATAGAATGCTCTGTGTACAAAAATGCAAACTTTAATTTCTGGAGACCTGAATTAATTACTTAAATTTCACTCTAGTTTTGTTGGGGTYTGAGGCAGTGGCAGGCATCTGCATGAGCGTTACGTGTCTAAGTTCCCATTGCAATAAATGGAAACCAGAGAGCAAATCAATGAACCAAATATAGGAGTCAAACTGGGAGCTTATGTAACTGGGATTCAAATCATTTGCTTGGTTGTGGAGAGTGGCTGCCACTTGAGATGGTGCAGTGCATCAGACATCTGTGTGGGTCTGACAGATACAGCACAGGTGCCACRGGGGATTTGTGATGTTCTGGAGCACCAGCTATGAGCCAGGCAGAACACACTGGGGCCCTTCATGACAGATGCAAATGTGGCAACCAGGTACAAATGGGATTTGAATTTTGCTTCCCTGTGATACCCTTGAGTWACACTTTGTTAGAGGCTGGGACAGTATGCTGAGGAAATATTGTTCCAAGTCTGGCTYTTATTGAACTCTTCCATAACATCTTCAGTTAGCTCCTTCTTAATTAACAATGGGAGATTATCTRGATTCCAGGTGAATCAATAAAAGGGAGTTTTAAGGATAGTCATCTGTCTTCCCTTGTGTATCTTATATTTTTAGCCTTTCTCCAGAAGCGTTAATATTCAGCTTTGAAATAGGGTAACATTTCTGAGCAACCTGACATATGCTTCTAATGCTTAACACATCCATTGATTCGAGTCTTTAAAGTATCACACTATAAAAATCAAACAAAACACCTCTGAGCATTTAGYTTTCCTCCCAAGCAGTAAATATTGATCAGACTGGACAAGTGTGGCAATCTTGACTCTATGAAAAATTCATCTGTATGAAGCRTAGTCACACACTGTCATCTCTGTCATACATTTTTCTGGTCAAGTCAGGGAAGAGAGGGCTGCTGCCATAGGAGATTCCTACCTGCTACCCAAGCACTCCTTGGCTAACTCACTGGAGACTTCTCCCTGTTGAGAAAGCTTAAACTGATACCTTAAATTATGTTTAATAGCTAAGGGAGGTAGACTKCATCTCACTCCAACATACTGACTGACTGTAGGATGGCAGCCACAGCAAGGAAGAAAGTCTGAAACATTTAAAAGTTTTGTACACTTCGAAGGGCACATCTCGAGGTGTGCATCTCTCCCACTGTATTGAGCATCAGTGACAAATGTTCTTGAGCAGTGATGATTGAGTAATGATAATGTACCCTTTGATTCCTCCACTTTGGAGAAAGATAACTTCAGCTCTAATTATTTTATCTCTAATTATCTCATAATCTCCTTCACAGGAAAAATTACTCTGCATGATTTAAAGCGATGCAAGTTGACAAATGTGTTCTTTGATACCTTTTTCAACATTGAAAAATACCTTGACCATGAACAGAAGGATCAGTTTTCTATGTTGCGGGTGAGTATGAAGCTTTAAAAGTCTTTATAGCTACATGCTTAGCAGTTAATACTTCTTTGTTTAACATGCAATGTGATTGTTTAGGATGGTGAAGGTGACAGTCAAGAGGTYTCTGACTGGGAGAAATACGCTGCTGAAGAGTACGATATCCTGGTAGCAGAAGAGGCAGCAAGTGACCAGTGGAATGATGGGTAAGGATGTAGGAGGAGGGTTGATATGAATCCTCTCTATTTAAGTGGAGCTTCACCACCACTATCATTCATTTAGAAAAGAAAAAACAAATCCTTCTCTAAAATATGTAATTAATGGTGTATGAGACTACCAAGTACATTTGTGTGAGCCAAAACTCTTATTCTAGAATATTTATCTCTTTTTACAAACCCTTGTTTTTAAATGTGTAGCTTGCCGAATTAAACCGTCAGGTGACTTGTTTTCTGTTTAAATCAGTGGTGAACTCATGGGAGAAACCCAAGGTGCAGCTCTATTTTTAGTTCACAGTGGATTCTTAGTATCTAACTGTTCTTTGCCCTATGTCTGTCTCTGAAAGAACAATTCTAATCAGCATGTAACACCTTTATAAAGCAGTTCTAAAGAACAGATACTGCAGTATCTAAATCTCATTCTCTGCACAGTCCTGTTAAGTAGATGGAAAAAAGTCTTATGGTGAGATGAGGTTCAGTACTGGTTGGGAAGACATGCATGAACCCGAGTCACCCTAACCCGGGAAGTGGTCAGTTCTTTGATCTGCCACCATAAATCTTGACAGAGACTTTGTGGTTTTTTAAAAACTATGAATTACAGATTGATCCAACCTGAAGTGTTGAAGCTAACCTTTTTTAAATACAAACCTTCACTGAAGGTTTAGTTAAACATTTAGCTRAACATTTCATTATCCATCTATTCATCTGCATCAGCAGCAGGTGGTTGTCAATAATTTCTGGATTAACAGCTGGCTTTTGCTTTCCAGCATCTGCTTAAAAGTATGGTTGCTATTGCTTCCCAGCACTCATGGAATCCAGACTCTCAATCCAGTATTCCTTCTCTTTTGTCCTGTCTACTGCAGCTGTATTTCATTCTTCCTAACTGAGCCTCATTTCAGCTTTCTTGAAAAGAATTTGAGGTGTTTCTGGCAAATACTTAAGGTTTTGCATTTGTCCATTTCTAGTCTATGAGCAGTTGACTGAAGCTGTGTGTCAGTGTGTGCTTTGAATCCTTTCAGTAGAGCTGCATATCACAGTGGAAAGTTCATCATGTGAGGGAGAGTAAGCTGTCTTCAATTCAGGGAATTATTACAGAACCCTGGYGCTGTTATGGTTATGTTCCTTTATTATAAATACAAAATATTGGAAAGTATGTTCTTCCTGCGGTGCTTTGTTAGTGTTCCAACATTTAGGCTCTCCCTGGCATAATTAGATCCTTAAATTTTAATTTTTTTCCTAGGTACGAAGCAGAACTGAATCCTGTAGACCATCAGAAGGCCAGTGTTCTAAAGTATCAAATGGAGAAAAGACCATTTTTTGAAATGCCTTCCCATCTGGCTGATGTAGACTTGGATGAATATGACTATGATGAGGATTTTGAGTAGGGGTTATTTATGGTCAGCACTTGCAGAAGAGATGGGACAGTCTGCAGCAGGTCTGCTACACACTGATACATTTCACTGGGGTTTGTTTCCAGGAAGTCAGCTTAGTTTTGTGCTAAAAATATTTAATCACTACACTACCTTTTAAGTAAAAGAAGTGCATTTATATGGAATGATGCAATTTTTGTATTTATTCAATAGTTTATAGTTTGTAAAATAGATYAAAATATTTATTTACAGATGTTGCATAATTCCTTTTTGGAAGAATAACAATATTTGACTTAAGAGAAAAGTAATCTACTGTTTTTAAGAGAACTGTATAATTCTCTTGAAGTTGATGTGTGGTGCACTGACCATCTCCATCTCACCTGTGAACAGGTATTTCTGTCCTGGTATGGGAGGTAAGGAGACAATTTATACCTGCAATGCGCTCATGTTCATAGACAGCCCTATTTTAGGTCCTGTGCCTTGGCAAGGAAGAGACATGACAATGAGTGCACAGTTCAGCACTCATTTACAAGCAGATTTCTGTTTGACAAGCTGTGCATATTAGTAGAATACAAGGAAAGTGAACACCCAAGACAAGTTGCTTTTCTTCTCTGTGTAGTCCTTGTTTGCCCCAACTTTAATTTTGTGTGCCCTTTTAAACTCCAGTCTTTTCATTGATGTTAATCATAAAAAGATTATTTAACAATGAAGTCTATTTGAGTGTTAATACTTGATCCAAAATGGGTGTGTTAATTCATGTAGGAGGAACCAATTTTTTTTTTTTTAATCCTTTGTATAAATGTTACTTGATCAGTGATGTGCACTAATTTGTTGCGGGCATTCAGTGCTTTTGTCTGTCCTCCCCTTTGCTTGTTTGCTATTGACACATTCCATGGATATTCATCAGTGTCACAGCAGCTTGAAATTGTTGCCTCACTCTTAACTGTTAACCAGGTTTTGTTGGGAAAAAATTGTACAAAAAGATGTAAGTTATTTTTTTGGTTGCTGTGTAGATCTTTTAAAATGTTTAAAAAACATGTTTGTATTTTCAAATAAAGATTTTCATACATGTAATTTAACATTTCTAATCGTTACATACTGCACACAATTCATGTCTTACTGTTAAAGAACCATTCACCATAGAACGGGTTACACAGGTCTGGGGTCTGGATGGGTGATTACAAGAAGCTGCATATTTAAAGCAATCAGCCTCTAGCAGGTTTTTCTTCATCCAAAAGAGAGTATTGCTGAGCAGCTGGGAGGAATCTCCCATCACACCAGCTCTTGCACAACCCTACACACCTGTGTATCACGTAATGCAGCTTGTTGCTGTATTGCTGGTAAACCTTACTGGGAAAAACTCAAGTTATTTTAATACCATTCAAAGGCTTTAAAAAAAAAAAAAAGATAAGTGGGTTGATTATTTCAGTTTAAATGTCAGATTTCTCTAGTGTTGGCTGGATACCTTTCACTACCTGCCCATGGTTGGGGGCTTCTAAACAGTATAGATCCACAGAGTATTTCCGTTAAGCTCCGTTCCCTAAGGGAAAGGATGGCCAACTGCCTTTCTAGAAGGTGATCCTGAACATCTGTTGCAGCTCAGGAGATGCTTTTTCCTACCTGCTGCTTTTTCCTATCTGAAACCCTTTTGAAAAGGGGGCTTGTAMCTGGGCAGTGAACAGCCACATGCTTTCCCAGCATGCAGTGACATATCTCTGTCACACTGCACTATGGTGCAGGGTTGATCTCTTCTGCAGAGCCTGTAGTTGTCACCACTTTGTGTTCAATGAAGTGCCTGTTAAATCCTACTCTCTATTATACCAAGTCCCTTCTTTCCTAAGTGGAACACATCCTGCTGCTATTGTAGAAGTCCTTTTTCTTAAAACACTTGACTTCTAAGGATTACTGGACCTTGCCCCTGGCAGGGTAACTCCCATCCCCAGCCCACTGTTTACACAAATTAAAGCATCCATGTGCTTGATGTGGTTCCAGGTATAACTTTTCTTAGTAAAGCCGTATTCTGCCTACCTCATGAGTGCTTGGGYCTAGATCCAAATCTAGATGGATTTGTGGGAAGCACAGTAGAGGGAATTATCAATACCCCAGTACCCTTCCTTCTAGAGGGAAGCATCAGTACCCCAGCCCAGGTATGGGTATTACTGAATCATAGGGGACTTTGAACTGCGTTATGTGGGGAGTGGTACCTCACCCCTTGTGTCAGTGTGCACACCCAGCTATGCAAAAGGAAACGTCAGGGGTTCACTGGCCACTTCAGTGTTCCCAATACCTGGGCAACAGTCACAGCTTTCACKTCCATCTTCATGGGAGCTCCCTGCTCAGCCTATGGAATAACACAACAAATGGAAAGGCCAGCACATGTTGCTGCCATTCTTTCTCCAGACATGGTGTGGAAGTAAGYACTTGCACATTCAGTACTAATTGATAGCAATAGTTCTGTAGTTTATTTTACACAGTTACAATCCAAAATATATATATATATATAAAAAATAAAGCTGATATGATTACTGCAATGTACAATTCCAGGGAGCAGTGAGAAGGGTCAGTGAAAGCAGCCAGCACTCCCCAGCCTACTGCCACTGAAACACTCTTGAGTGAAGACCATTTGCCAGTTTTTAATGCAAAACCCCCTACTTTTGAATGGCCATATTTACAGTCTATTTACATTGTCTTTCCAGGCTTTTTCCAAGTAAACACCACATGATCACTGTGTACAAAGAGTTCTTCCAAAGGAAAGTAGTCAGCTGCTCTGCTGTTTCTTTCCTTGTTACTTCGAAGCCTTGACACAAGTTTCCCAGGAACATGTCCTGATGCCTACAGACCACTAACCACATCTCTCTAAGTGGTGGAATTTAGAAATACTGTCAGATGACTGATCCAGGGTTTCYGTTTTACGGAACTTGCCATCACCCAGCAGTCACAGTGCTCACAGCTGYGCCAGGCTCCTTTCTCCCCAGCATCAGGTACAAGGAAACACAAACATCTCCAGTGGGTTATCATCTCAAACAGTACAGAACGTGTCCAGCAGAGCACTGCCCCATGATTCAAACAAGCTCGTCTCACAGAGTTCACAGCGTCTTTGATTCAGTGTTTGTCAATACCCTGATTCCAATCTTTCAGCTGGGAGTGTTTCCTAGGCATCAATGATCAGCATGGTTGAGTAACGATGCTCAGAATGCCCAATTCTAGAACTGCAGCAGCCACCTCGGCAACACCCAGCAATGGTGAGAAATCAACTGCAGTGCTGCAAACTGGTTCTGGGTGGATGTCCACAGGCACAGAGACAATTTGATCCATGTCTGCTGCCAATTAAATTGATGCCCTCACACCCCATTGTCAAAGAATTTGCAGAAAAAAAACTGTGTGCTTCGCTTCTGTTCATCCTCTCAGTGTCTTAACTGTCCTATATCATAAGAAAAAAGAGATTAAGTCAGTTTTCTACTATGAAGCAAACATCATGTAAGAGCATATAATCTCTGAATCTGAGTTAACAGTGTAGAAGCTAACCAGTCAGCAGCTTAGCCATAGAGGCAGTTCTTGTAGAGAGCGAGAGCTTCCACAAAAGAAGCATTTCCATACCCCAAAAAGCCAAAAAAAGGCACTACCAGGAAAGGCACCATGGTCAAGTGGTGCATTTTCTGTATGGCTTCAGCCTTTGTCCATGGATTTCAATTCTTCTGTCTTCAGTAGGAGCTCCTTCCTGTATACGGGATAAACAGTAAGCATTTTATCCTGTATACGGGATAAACAGTAAGCATTTTAAAATGCATATGACTGGAAGAAAAGGTAGAAGTCCCTTTTTTTAAAACTTCTAGTCTTCTTTAAAAATAAAAGCTCACGCACTCACAAAAAAATTGCTGAACTTTACAGGAAAAACTCATTTAAATAGTCAAAAACCATGCAAAGTCTGAACATGGTTGTTAGATCCCAGATAACCAGAGTCACTGGAAATCAAGAAGTTGCCTGACTCACTGCAAAGATACTGTCTGCCAAAAACTGAGTTATGTTCTGAAGTGCAGAGAACAGGGGCAAATACAGGAGAAAAACCTGAAGGAASTGCTCAGCTGCCTGCAGTGGCTGACACAAACAGTTATGGGGCAGAAAGGTTGTGATCAGCTGCAGCACAGGAAAAATCCAGGCCTTTCTTTCCCCCCCTATCCCCTTCCTGGTACAGTCACTCCACAAGACCCTGCTGCACACCATCCTATTTGAGTCCTTGTGCTCCACTGGCCCTAAGGGCTGGAAATGCTTCCCTGCTGCAAGGATCCAGTCCAGGGCTGAGCTGGGACAGCTGCAGCTCTGCCACACTTGGATCCCAAAGGCAATCACTGCCCACAAGACAAAGCCTCTGGCTATGCTGGTTGCCACTCCAAGCCCACAATGTTCTCATCAAATTTCCAGCTTGTTCRGGGACAATTTAATCTGCCCAACCGCATTGACTGGAAAAGGGCAAGAAACATGGGACACTCCAGCAACAGCCCTGGGCTGACCAGTGACCAGACACATTCCAAGTCTTTCAATCCAAAGAGCACAATGCAAACACCATTTCTGAAGSAGATATTCCCTGCAGGCCATGCAGCAGTGCCATCTCTGCAATGTGTCAGTAACACGAAGCAACTGCAGCAAATGGCTCTTTAATCAGGACACTTCACAGTATGTGAAAAAAGGAAACGGGATCCTCCTCTTAATGCATCCTAAGTGACATTCAATCCTTAGGAATGACCCAAGGATGTCTAGATGCCACAATAAGTACTGCCTTAAAAATGTAGATCAAGCTGAAGCAGGAAATTACAGCTGCAGCTGGAAAGTGAAGAGGGCAATCCCCCTTTTCTCATCCTAGAAAGGGTCACAAAATAACAACCCCCTTTGCTGCTATGTGGCCACCCAGGAGACTCTGACCTGACATTCACCCACCTCAACTACATCTGTCCTCAGAGCTGGCAAACCAGCCAAAATTACCTGGTCTGTACCAACAACATCAATATCTTCAATTGTGTCTTCTGYTGGACCCTGCAGGGAGACATCTTCTGTCTTGATCTCCTCTTTGCTGGAAACCAAAAAAAAACAAAGCAAAAAATAGCAAAGCCTTGACAAATCTCAGAGGCTGCACATGGCACAAATGTGCTTAAGGCAGAGTATTTCACGCAGTAAGATCTGCTGCTGATATCCATGTAAAGCAGCCTAAAGTTACTGGCTCAGAATTTCCCAGTATGAAAAACGTTATGCTCTGAGGAATTTTCAATAAAGTAGTTCTGAAACAAAACATTGATTYAACAGGGGCTACCTTCTTGTTTAATAAATTTTTGTTCTATTTTACTTGTATTCACCAGGTCCATTAAACAAGTGTCCCAAAACCTGGAAAAGTATGCATCTTCCCAGGATTTGTGATTCACCTTCCAACTTAGCAATACAGGAAATGGCACCTAACACCTCAATAAATTAAATGAATTGAAGGAAAATACTGCAGCTGAGCACTTTGATTGCTCAAAAGTAGACTCCAGAGTCCCCAGTTCTGCAATACCTCTCTTACATYCAAGCTGTGTGCAGTTTAACTCGGGCCACATGTGCAAGCTGCACACAAACCCTCCTCTAAAAGAAWGCCACCAGGTACACAGTAGTCAACAGCAGATCTGCAGAGACAAGAATCSTCTTTCATTTCCAGAGATGCAGAAAACAGTTACTGTCTGCCTGCAGCAAACAGCCAGAGAATAACCAACACCACAGCACTCCAATCTGGACACGAGAAGTGGGACAGAGAACTTTTATCCTTCCTTGTCCATCTCTCTGCACACTTGGTATTACTCCAAGAAGGCACAGAAGCCCTGTGACAGTGACAGAAGAAAGCAGCACATGTAGATATTGGACTAAGGAAACAAAAAACCCAACCTGTCCTTGGGACACAGCCCATAAGAAAGACAGGAGGGGAACACACCCTTAGCTCATGAAGTATTACAAAAAACAGAATCAGAGGAGGATAGARAGACCCAAAGTGTCAATGCCAGAGCAAGTGAAGGAGCTTGTAAGACATCAAACYCTCACCAGTATCTTCTGCGCAGCCCTCCTGGACAAAGGAATGGCAAATGCTCCTGCAAGCGCAGCTCTCGAGATTTCAGCCTCTTTCTGCTTTTCCCTGGTGCAGAGGGAAACTGGGAAGCACACTGCCCTTCTGGGGCTTTGCTTGCTGCTTCGGTCTGGCTGGTTTCAGGCAAAGACCCTGCAACAGAGAGTGAACACAGTCCTTCTTCAGCCTCACCCTCAGAGGTCTTGAGATGGACATTTCCAATATGTTCCCCACAGAAGTGAAACCATCGGGCCAAGCTCAAAAGGAGATTTGGAGTAAAGCATTCATTTATTGAAGGAGACAGCTAGAAGCCACTTAAAAGAAAATCCATTTAATTTGCCCACTGGTCATTTTTGAAATCTAGATTTATGAACTTGGCCCTGGTCCATAACTGCTATCAGCACTGCTGAGTCTATATAACGCTCAAGAAAGGAGGRCCTCTGGGGACACAAAGGAACAAGCTCTCTCAAGGCAAGTCACTGAAAAGATTTACGAGAAAGAACGAGAAAGAAGCTAAAGGACACTGTGGAAAAATTTCTTTTCCTCCACATACCATCACACATGTTCATAGCACTTAGTTAAAGTAATAAAGCCATTATGAAAACAATTGCTAGTAAAAATGCTAAGCACCACCATATCCGTGCAGTGAATACGTCATTACAGATTGGCAATCCATCAGTGCTGCTACAGACTGGATGCAGCCCATCTAACTATAACTCTTTAAGGTAGGARTACAATCTTACAGGCTCCCTAAAAATTCAACAGAGAGAAAAACCCTAGAAGATGATTTGGCCCAGATAATCTGGCCACAAGATCTGAATCAGCTTCTGGAAATACCTACTCAATTATCTACAGGACCTAAAGCAACAACGACTTTTAGTTAACAATTAAAAGTAATCAAGCAAGTCTCAGTGGCTCAGACAACTGCCAGATATTTGTACAAAGCAAAATTCAGATAATTTTGAATTCTCCACACTCAGAATTTTCAGCCCAACCTTACTGCTATTGAGTGATCAAAGGACTTTTAACAACAATAAAGCTGAACACAAAAACCACAGTTCAAATGGGAAGTCTACAACATCTAATATTCTGTGGTACTTTACTGCTAATGCAAAGCATGGAGTWAATTTTAGCACATGCAAATTTGCTAAAGTGGAGCAAAATAGCAAATACAGSAGTTTTGCCAGAAAAACAGACAAAGCAAATACAGCTGATTGAGAACTGGAAAGTTTTTGTACCGTTAGATAATTTTCTTTTAAAAGATGATGTCTTAGATGAGCCCACAGGGGGCCACTCTCCCAAACTGCCGAAGATGGAGCTCTCCTCATCTTCATTTGCCAATAAAGAGTTTCTGTAGCAGACCAAGGGCTGCCATTCATCTCCTCTGCAGGACAGTGGCTCTTTTATGTACCGCTGCAAGTAACCATACCTGGGACAAAAACAAAAGGAAGCATRAGGAAATTCAGTATCCTTCCCTTCAATATCTGGGGCAGGTATTGCAATAAAGGATTTTCACTTTACTCTCCAAAGGCGCGAACAGAACTGCTGAAGAAAGGGCACCCCTTTTCTCTGAAATACCTGACATGTCTGAAGTATCTATTTAAAATGCAAATATCTTCTAGCTAAAGGAGTGCTTGAATTTTGGCATTAGAAACAATGCTAGATCCAGAAATTACAAAAATTACATCAGCCTCTAGAAAGAGTTTCCTGTGTAGGGAAAGTCACTGCCAATTGCTGCTGCCAGCAGCAATCTGAACAGAGCAGAATTCTATAAGGATTCACCTCTTCTGGTGCCTTTTCTGCCTCATGGACTTCAACACAAAGGAGATCCCATGCCAGAGATACTCCCTGTAATTCAGTAGTACAGGAAACAGGACAGGACACACAATGGGGTTTTTACACCATAAGTGCCTGTTCTGTCAAAATTAAAAACAAGAACAACCAATTAAACAATGTTTTCGGTATTATTGTGCCAATTCAATTCTCTCAGCTTCCCAATAAAATTTCAAGTGTCTGCAAAGAGCAGTTAAATGCTGTGCAGTTGTGACAACACACTGGATGTGGGAAACATTGTCTCGAATCCCTGTTTTGTCTGATTCAATCCAGAGACTTGACACTGGGCCTTCCTGATCCTAGGTGACCCTATCACCTTTCCTGGAGCAAAACAGCCTTCTTCAAATTCTCTATTTGAAAAACAGAACATTTCTGATAAAGTCTTTCTGACCCATTCCTACTGCATAACAATAAGAAAAGAAAACCAAAGTCTGACGCAGGATTAGAAACTGGATATTCACCACATTTCAGCTACAGTTCATCACTTTAAAATGAAGCCCAGTATTGTTAAAACAAACCCCACCTTAGCAAATACCAGAAGCGACAGTTTTAACACCAGCCTGCACAACATATTATTCTTTTTTTTTGATTAGGAGAGTGGCCTGGAAAATATCAGACGTTTCATTTGCTTTGCAAAACAAGAAAACCAGTGCTGAGAGGAGGTCAGGGTAAGCCCTGACTCCAAAACAATTAGAGTCCTGGACTCTGGGGGGCCCAGGGATCAAGAAACTCTGGTAATGGAATTTGTTGGTTTCAAACAAGCACGTATTGTAACTACAGTCTCAGGGTCTAATCCAACTGCTATCAATGTCAATGGAAAGACTCCCACTGATTCAGGAATCAGGCCCTTCATGCTGCTTGCTATTCAGCAATTCATTTCTTGTGTGCAATTTGTGGTCCAGAGCAATTGACAAGCCAGCTATTTAACTGCTACAACGTGGGCAATTACAGAGGAGAGGGTTAAAGTCCATATACTTTGATGGTGTTGAAATATAGTCCTTTCTAACAAATGCCCATATTCTGTGTCTCATCTGTTACAGGTACATTCACATATGTTAACATACAGACCTGGACATCAATCCTATGATTAATAAGGAAAATGAAAATAACCAGATGTTTATTTCTCAAAGTTCATGTTGACCTAAAACATTCCATCCAATAATTTATGATGGAGCTAAACCTAAATATTTCTAAGGGGAAATATAATCTCCAGCCTGTGCAAGGCACTTTAGGCTTCCCAGAATAGAAACTGTTATTCTAGAAACAAAGTATGAATGTACTTGTGGATAAACTGCAATTTCCCTTCTAGTGAATTTTATTGTTTCCCATTTGTTCCCAGCAGCAGTGGGAAAGCCCAAAGCAGTAAGAACTGAAGTCAAGTGCATTCCCTGATAGGTTCTGTATTACCCACAAAATTTTTCTATTAATAAACCTACCTGATTGTATCAAATATATCTGATACATTCAGGAATATACTTCTAGAATCCTCTGATCAAGAGGTTAAATATAGCCCAAGGAAAAAAAAACCTATYAGGAATTTAGCTTTAATCTGCCCACATCAACAATTAAATATTTTCCTCTTGTTTAATTAAAAACTACTCCCTGGTGATAAATGAAATGACAGTTTTTCAAAGATTGTTTAACAGAATATTACTTATTGCATGGGTGTCACTACAGATGATTACAGCTCTTTAAAATACAGACAAATATGGCACTTATACAGAAACTGTCCAATCTTGGGCCTGGAGCACTTCCCCTATGAAGACAGGCTGAGGGAATTGGGGCTGTTCAGTCTGGAGAACAGAAGGTTCTGTGGAGGACTTGGAGCACCTTCAAGTAACTAAAGGGAGATGACAAGAGAGCTGGGGAGGGACTTTCTACAAGGGCATGTAGAGATAGGGCAAGGCTTTAAATGGCTTTGAACTGAAAGAGAGGGATTTTCATTTCGATATTGGGAAGAAATTTTYGACTGTGAGTGTGGTGAGGCACTGGAACAGATTTCCCAGAGAAGCYGTGGATGCCCCATCCCTGGAAKTGTTCAAGGCCAGGCTGGATGTGGCTTTGAGCAACCTGGTCTAGTAGAAAGTGTTCCCCATGGTAGGGGTGTTGGGGCTAGATGATCCTTGAGGTTCTATGGATTCTATGAAAACCAGTTTTGGTAGCAGATCTCAAAGATTCTTATCTGAGAAAAATGCAAGAATAGAAAATGAAGTTATCAGTACCCACAGATGATCCACTTTAGGTTTCTCAAGAGTTTGTAATCAGTGTTAAATGCTGACTATTTTTCTTCTGCATTTTGCATCCCGGCTTTGAATTTATTTTTTCAAATGAATTGCCTGTGTAGCTGACATTTGTTAATAAATTGCGTCATGTGAAGAAATAGAAAAGTAGATGTTTTACCATTCTTGACCCATATTACATAAAACCAGGTTGATGATTCCCATATAAGTTATCCTCCAATTCAAGTCAAAGTGATACATGAGCAAGGAAGTTACACAGAGCTCAGCAAGATGTGGTAGCTGTGTTTTTCCATTTCTGCTGACTTCCTTTAAAAAGTGAAACTTTTCTTGTCATGACATGAGTGATTTGCTCAGAAATTCAAAAAGGCAGATATGTCTTAATGGTCCATCTAACAATCCCATGACTTCAAATAAGCTTKCAGGAACATGGAAATACCTGGTTTTTACAGCACCTGTAAATAAAATACTGAAGTGCAGAAATCCAGATCCACAATGAACAGCACTGACTAAGGAAGTAATGCTCAAGGTCAAACAGAAGKAAGAATGTTACCTCCTTCTCAAAAATGACCAGAGCTGAGGCAGGTAAAGATAGGAATAAGAGACATATTATATATCTCTCAGATGCCTCAGACCCCATTGATGTCAAAACAAGGCTATCATTCTTACATCATTAAAGGGAAATATTTACACCACTGTAAAACATGGGCCCACTGGATCGGGGCATATTCCCACATAAATAGTACATTCTTGGATTTAAATATCCATATTATGAACTGTGTTACATATATTTCTGTTCCCAATATATTCCATGGGATTCACATAATTAAGGCCTGAAGCTATGGAAGTAGATCATTACAAAATAATGACCCATTCATTATTTCTTCCTCAATCTTCTCATTTTCTTTTCTGTTGAGAAAAGCATTTCTGCCACTCCATTAACCACTCAAAACCAGTCACAAATCTCTTCCATCAAATTAACAGCCCTTCCTTGAGAAGAATTGTCATATGTGGCCAAAACTATGTATAAGAAAGATCTAGAACGCATATTGCACATACAATCTGAAATAACTACAACTGAAGAATTTGACAAGTGTGTCTGAAACCAACAGCCTCGGGGGCAGACTGATTTCAGATCCTCTCTGAAGAGCCTTAAGCAAATTCTACTACACTGAAGTTCCAGTGTCCTATGTACAGGGATACACAAATCACAAAGCGTATATGATGGTGTACAAGAGCTTAACTTACACTAGTCTTTTGTCTGGCTTTAACAGCTTGCTGGAAAACTCAATGATGATTAACAGAAAGCTCAAGTTAGGAGGCGAGCATTTTCCATCTACTCCAGCAGCTCCTTGAAAAGCAAATTCAATCCCTTCCCTATTGAAAGAAAACCAGAAAAGAACAGAGTAATAAAACAGATAAAACAGACAACAAACAAAAGCAATGACCATGGACAACGCAAAGTTACATGGCACATACTTGTGTATCATGGCTATACATTCTCTAGATTTCACTTGGTCCCAACCAAATGTTAGTGAAAAGCGACGAGCAAGTTCTTTGATGTTTGTAAAGGAAGCAGAGGAGAAGTCCAAACCACTACTGCTGTCTTGGCTTTCTGCATGTGTCTGAAACAGCTGCAAGAGAAGTCTCAGATAAGCAAACACAGGTAATCCTACAGGCAAACAAAGCACCACAAGGACGGAGACAGGCACAGAAAGCAACAGTTACCTCACACAGACAGAAGCCTTACAGAAGAGCAGGTAAATCATGTGCTTCTGGTGCAATGACAAGGAAGTGACACAAAGGACACTGTTGTACTCATAAGACATGCACAAATCAAAAAACAAAAATAAAAAATGATGTGCATAAATAGAGAACCGATTCCTGAAGATGATGGTCCCACTGACCTCATCTCCTCTCGGTGCTTCTGAATCAAGCCCCAGAGGCCAAATTTGCCTGAGATGCTTTCAGAGTAGAACAATGCAAATACAAAGCAGCAAGCTTRGCAGCATCATTGTCCAAATTCTGAGTAAGTGTAGGTCAGAAGCACATCTTGAGCTCAGTTAACTGTGCTTCGGGATTTTTTTTCTATTAGAATATGGAAGTAGCTTCTTCTCATCAATCTGTTAACTTTCAAGGTCAAGCAAAGGCCAAAAAGGGCCTGTTGTCTATGTGATACCTAAACACAAAGTCCTGACTATGTCAGCAGAATATATGTAGCCAAATGCTGCTTAGACTCATGTAAGCTCAGATTTCAAGGGCTGGTTCACAGATCTAAGCCCCCCGGCAATGTGTGTGAAATAAGCAAAGCTCATGTGTCAGTAACCCCGGGAGGAGCGTGTTCTCTGGATTACAGCAGGACTCCAGGCTAGAAGCAGCTCTGGCCACGGGCAGAGCTGGCAAAAGCAGCTGCTAAAATAGCTAACCAGCTATCAGTCAGCAGCTGCAAGCCCTGGCAACTGAGACCCTGCAGAAGGGCTGCAACCTACTTTCCTCCAGAAAAAAATGCTGAAAATACAGGGGGTTGAAGCTGATCAGCCATAGGCACACCCATGATTCTTCTAATTCAAAAGAAATTAAGGTAGTCTGTAAAACACAGCATAGTATCTTCAACATTTGTTAAGAGACACTCACCATGTCCCAAGAAACACCTCRTAATCTCACATCAGTTCTAACATACTATGCATTTGAAGATTAAAACCATGACAAAATATTGTGGACAAAATCACCTTTTAAAATAGATGYAATGATTTGAAACAAGTTTCAGTTATGACACGCAAAAACAATACAAATAGAAAGTGCAGGAAAGAAGTCATTTCTTTGACTAGGTTTTCTAATGATTTTGAATAATTATGGCATGGGAGGTAAAAATCTTCACTGTGAATACAGCTATCATAAGAGTCCCGAGCATCTCACTTTAATCTTAACCTTACCTGCTGCAGACAGAGACTCAGTGTCTTGGCACTCTGAATTTTGTCACTGTGCCTCGTCTTGCTTAATGTTTCTTTAATTATGTCTCCAAAATCACTGTAGGTCTATTAAAAGTAACAAAACAATGGAGAATTATCATTCCTCTTCTTTAGCACCATGAGTAYACAAACCACACCACTCCTCAAGTGACACAAGAAGTTCCTAAAACACTCCCAATATCAGAACATGCAAGTTAAAAGATGAAAATGGGACCTTTTATAATATTTYGTATGTAAAGCAATGGTATCCTCCTTTAAAAGTAATGTGAAGATCAAAGTTACACTGAAATTGTTAAGTATTAACAACTGATTRTCAATTCTTAATTCATAATTAACTGTTGTTTCTTAAAAAAGAGCAAAGCTCCATTAGGAGAGAAAGAGAGTTTTCTGTACTTTACCAGTGCTTGCAAATGAAACAAAGAACTAGAGTCATATTCAGGTATTTCCAAAATTCTGTCAGYTGACTGAAGGAAACTGCCCACTCTAAGCTTCTTGGCCCTCCTGAAACCCCATTCAGAGTGGCTGAAGCTCTGCTAAACCCTGGTCCTCTAAAGCCTGGGACTCATGTGAAATGTAGACACCTGTATAKGGACTGTGTGAGCTGTATCAATTAAGCTGATCACTTCTGTGAGAGAACCTCAATAGTTGARACACTCCCCAGCCATAAACTGCCTCTCTGGAGAAGATGAGGAGCACRTGTTCAGACAGACATGTCCTCTCCTCAATTTTCAGTTGCTTTGTCTGCAGTGAGGTACCTTTGTGGAACCAAGAAAGGAGGTCTGGCCCCCTCCTGCATGGTTTTACAGCCCTTTTGTTATTACACCAGGATCCTGAGCCGTAACACTATTAACATCATATCCTTGACAAACATTCAAAAACTAAAATGCAYTGATAAGAAAAACAATCTTATCTAAAACCTTACCTTCACATAATGCTTATAGATCTCAGCAGCTGCAGTCATCTCTACCACATTATACACTATTAACTTGCAATATGCTGCAAGAAGACTCCGCTTTTTGTGCAAGTCATCAAGTTTGCAGCCTTCATCCTTTTCTTCTTCTGTCAGATCTAGGGAAACACAAGCATTGAAGCTTTATTCTATTACTTTATTCAAGGTATCTCAATTTAAATGACCAACTTTCACCTAAATAGTACAGACTCAGCTGCTCAGTAGCAGATGGCAGTGCTCRTTCCTGTGCATATCAGAAAACACAGGTTCATTCCCATTTCAAAGCTGCAGCTGATAAYGTGAAAACACAGTATTCCTCCGCAGTCTCCCACTCTGATCTTCGTAGTGCTTTTGCATTTCTGCTAGTCTGTATTTCTATACAAGAATCTCTTCTGCATTTCTATACAAGAATCTCCTTGTACAACTTTACAGAAGTGTAAAGAAACTCCTTGTACACTTTACTGCTCACAGCTACAGAACTCAACCAGCACATAGAATAAAAGGTACAAACACACCAAATGGAAGGCACCAGAAAAATTGCAACCACGTCTTTTTCCTAGAATAAAACAGATGCTAGAAAATTAGCACATAACTCATCAGAAACCCTACAAAAGTTGTCACACACAGTCAGTAAGAGTTCCGATGAAATTCTCCAAGTGCTTATCAAGAAGAATAAAAGAAAAAAGTAATTTAATAGCATTAAGTGTCTGGAACACAAGTTAATTATTAGCTGGATAATTCATGGGAAACAGATAYTCTTAAGAGTATTCCACAAGGGCTACAAAGGTGCTCAGAGAGAGCTTCTTGCAGCAGGAGAGCCAAGACACTCTTTTTTGCTGCATATGCAAACTTTCAGCTGCCAAAAGACTTCAGTCTCCAACCTATAATTTTGATGTGGACCRTTTCTGCTTCTAGAATGACTGTGGGCCTGGCAACAAACATAACGCAAATGACTGAACAGAAGTATCTGAGTTTAAACTGGAATGAAACAGCTGCCAGCTGTGCACACAAACACACATATAGCAYCCCAAAATCAGTTGTTCAGGAAAGAATCTGCAATGAGATGACAGGCATCCTTTGTGGGCACAACTGAGAAATTGAAGACATCACAGAAGAAAGGTCTGAAACAGATCTCCAGCCATCTAAGCCAAAGCAGGGTCAAWTTTATCAGTTTCAGATACACAATATATGTAACCTGAAACACAACCTGCTTCAATAACCCCCATAGCTAGGATACTACAACCTACTTGTGCAATCTTTTYTACTGTATCTTTACTGTTTCTCTTCTATCTCCCAAAGATAAGACAGTTAGGGCAATTTAGGCCCATCAGTGGTTCCTGCATATACACCATGACCCAAAGAAGTTTGGTGCCCATAACTGAGCAGARAACTCCATCTGAACAGCTGAAGGACAAGAGTTAGAAAAATCTAGAACAATGCTTGTTGTGTCAAAGCATGACACTTGAATCTGCCCTCAGAACCACAAGGAACAATCCATTTTCAAAACACTCCCAAAAGAARCCAGCCTTCATAATTACAACTTCAATACAGAATCCAAATGTGCTTTAAAAAAGGCAACAGAGCAACAAATACTATTTCCCACTGGACTGAGAGCAGCTCTGAGGTGGTGGACTTGGGGCTGTTGGCTGATGAGAAGCTCAACATGACCCAGCAATGGGTGCTCACAGTCCAAAAAGCCCMTTGTGTCCAGGGCTGCATAAAAAGCAGAATGGCCAGCCAAGATTGGTGATTCTGCCCCTCTGCTCTGCTCTGGTGAGACTCCAGCTGGAGTGCTGTGCCCAGCTCTGGGGCCCCCAACAGCAGAAGGATGAGCACCTGCTGCAGTAAGTCCAGAGGAGGGTCATGAAAATGCTCAGATGGCTGGAGCACTTTGCCTAYKAAAACAGGTTGAGAGAGTTGGGGTTCTCCTACCTGAAGAAGGGAGACCCTGTAGGACCTTCCAGTACCTAAATGAGGCCAACAAGAGTGGTGGAGAGGGACTTTTTACAACAGCATGTAGTGATATACTGGGCAACAGCTTTAAACTGACAGAGGGCAGTTTCCTTTCTTAGAAAGGAAACTTAGGAAACTCAGGAAAAAATTCTTGACTGTGGTGGTGGTGAGGTACTGAAATAGGTTGCCCACAGAATCTGCAGATGCCCCATTCCCTGTTCAGSGCCAGGCTGGACAGGGCTTTCAGTAACCTGGTCTAGTGGCCCTGGTGGAAGGTGGCCCTGTCCATGGCAAGGAGATTTGGAACTAGATTGTTTTTAAGGTCCCTTCCAACCCAAACCAGTCTATAATTCTGTGAAATCTGCCCCACAGCCCCAAAATCAAACTCCACCAGTCCTTCTATCTAATGGCTTAGAAGGGTCCACGCACTGACAGAGCCTCACTGCAACACTGCAAGGCCTTCCTCTAACACCATCATCTGGACCATGAAAGTCAGTGACCAAACACTTTTACACTTTACCCAGCCCTGTCTTACTTCAGCCCTTTTCATCCTACAAGTAAATTCACATCTATACCCTGTAATTAATCCACAGTCAGTACAGATCAATAAATGACAGGTTTTTATTTTTGTAAAGGGGCCAATGAGAAAGAAAAACAAAGTAACTCACAAAGTAACTCACAAAACAAAAACAACAGAAGAAAGACCAGCCCTTTTCCCTGATACATTCACTGCAGATCACAAATGACAGTAAAAGTGGTAGATTGTTTTTCCAGTGAGGAAGGTGTCTAACCTTTTCTTTCCTCTTCGTCACCCATGAAAACGTGTTCCTGGATAAATGAAAGCAGTTTTTCCTGAAGTGATGTGTTAGGAAGATAACTTAGRAGTTCAACTGCTTCTTCGTTATTATTTAAATCCTGATGACTCAAAATCAGCAACCAGTCACAGAGTATCATGAAGGCCTGTATCAAGCGAACAAAGACAAAGAAGGATTTAAAGACCACGTTACTTTTCATGCCAACTCTACTTTCATTTCCATCAAACACAWTCTAGTTTCCATCCCACTCCTTCCTTGCAAACTAAAGATTTCTCTTCGCCTCAGTTGTGGTGAAATGCCATAGCTAAACCCTTAAAAAACYTGCACCTTAGAATGCAGTGTACACAAGTATAATGCATGAACACCACCTAAAGATTTTCAAAGTTCCACAGGCAAGAAGAGCTCTCTTATGTTGAAATATCCTTCTTTTAACACTTGAAACACTGGACAATTTCTCTATTTTTTAGAGTAATATTCATAGCAGTACATAACCAGTACACTGATCAGTCTAATCAGAAAACACAATTATTTTCATTCAGATTCAGGCCTTAATTCTGCAGATGGACTCATGAAGACACAAAATCTATGCTTGACTAAAGCACTAACTTGTAGCATTTTAACTAACATAACTTTAATTTTTATTTAAAATRAACAGTTGTGGACTGGATTTTTATGTGTTCTCTCTCTGCTAAGAGACAAAAACATAGCAAAAATCACTAGAAGAAAATACCATCATGAAAAAAAGGCAGGCATTTTAAAGGAGGTCTGAGCACAAATGTTTTTTAAGTGATAGAGAAACACAAACCTTTTCTCTTACRTCTTTTTCCTTATGGTGGAGGAAGYATGTGCAAATCTGACTGAAACGTCTCAGCTCCTTTCTTAGTGGAAAAAGAGTCTCCTAAAAACGCATTTAGGAAAAATGAAAGGGCCAATATGTTAGGGACTATGATTCAACAGAGAATTACAGAACAAACAACAGTTGCATCTTTCTTCCACTCCTATTATTCATTTAAGATAGCACAGCTGATGACATGATGAAAGAAGCTGGCATTTCACAGAACAGCTTACTAGCTATGAACAACTGCATCTGTCACAGTTGCTGAAGCCAGTGGAATTCAGCAAGTCACAAACTCTTTGTTTCTCCATCTGTAGGGTGGGCAGCATATATTCTCTTATTCACTTCATCTTATCCATATAAAACAGTGATAACAATGGAAGTAGAGTCATAAAAAAATCTGGTCCATCCCACCTAATATTCAATGCTTACTGCCTTCTGGAGTTTCTTTTCTCCTTTCCTCCCCTAATGATTACAGAGGGAATGGAGTTTAACAACTTYGGCACTCAGAAACTTAAGACATCACAGTTTGTTAAGATGAATCCAGCATGAGAAACTATTTGGTTTGCTCACAGCCATACAAAAGACTTGCTGATCTTTCACCAAGTCCCAGCTGCACTGCACTGAGCTCTGAACAGTCAGTGTAAGAGGAATGCCCTTACAAGAGAGATACATTTCATGCAACTCTACATYTATAAGAAAGGGGATCCATCCCAGGATATGCTGAGAACTAGGTGAGGAGCAATACATTGCCTTACCACTGCTAGGGGAGGAGAAAGGGGGAAATAACAGAGCTGCTGTCCAGGAAGTTGGGTTTTTTTTTTCTGCTCTTGGAACTTTTCTCTCTGCCAACATCCAGATTTGGCCCTGCAGAGTGGTCATCACATCTGCTTCCAATCAAAATCTGCTCCAATATGGAAGGCCAAATTAAAAAATGTTCTCCCCCATTACCAGTTGAGCTAACCGTGTCTGCAGTGAAAGGCAGAACACATCAGAGCARTGAGAGACGTGGACACAGCAATGGAATGGGACGGGAATAGCCAGTGAATCAGTGGCCAAATGGGTAACCTCCAGCTAGCATGTCTCACAAAACAAATGTCTGTGTCAGCACCCTGTCCTGTATGCACAGGAGCACCAGGGAAGGGGACAGAATGACAGAAGCAGCAGCACTCAGTGGAATCAGAAATCACCATCCAGAGGAGCCCCACAGGCACACATTCACACATGAACCAAAACAMAAAAAGAGTTTTCCTGTCTGGTGTCTTAAACTAGACTGTCTTCTGAAATACTTGCTAGAGTTTGGCACTTCATAAATTATGAAGGTAAACAGTCATCCAATGAGAAAATTACCACTTTCCTCGACCTTTTAGACAGAAATATGTTGGTAAATCAAGAAAAGAAAACAAAGCTACAGAATGTCCTGGAGTTTTCACTGAATATTCTTTGTTGCTTAAAACAAAAAAAACAACAAACTCTTTGGCAGTGAGACAAGTTCCTTATCTCCATCAAGCCCCAGGAATTCAATGCACATGTTTTGCAGTAAAAATAGCAGTGAACCATTGTTCCTGCAGACTGAAAATGCACACACATTAAAAAAAAAATGGACAAGATAGACAGAAAATGCCTGAATTCAATTTGGTTTCCTCAAGAACACACACAAACTATCTTCTTATAGAGCTTGTTTTTTTCAAGAAATCTCAGAATCAACTTTTAGAAGCACAAGTCTGGGTTTCAGAATTACATCAGTGGCYAACCTTGGGAGAATTTTCCGAAACTGCAGCTAGTTGCCACAGGAGAGAAAAATATGTGCACTGGAGAGCTGGCAGGATAATCTGCAAATAAAAACACATGTCTTTTATTTACATGAAAGGCCCAGCAGCAAAAAGCTTAGGACTAAACAAAGCATTCAAGCCTGACATTCTGCATKCTCCTTCCATGAACACTTCCCAGTTGTATTTAGATCCTTAAAATAAACTTAATAGRTTTACATATAAGCAAGCATTGCCCCCTGAGAAATTTCATTACTAAGGTGCTGCTTCTGCAGAATTTCTCTGACACCTTGATGAGCTCATGAGAAAGCAATCCACATACCAAAAAGTGTGTTCCCAGAGGCTCACTTTAGCTTAGCTCCTTGGGATTTCTTAGCAGCCTTTGATGAAAGGCAGATTCCTCCAGAGGCCAGTTCAGAGCAGAAGCTAAACCTTGGTGCTCCAATGCTCCATCTAAAGGAGCATCTACCCTGGCTGTAGGCTCTCTCTACTCAACTAAATTCCACCCCGTCCCAAAAAAAAAACCCCAAGTTCTCTCCTGAAAACAGGGGCTGGATAACATTTGTAACTGCTAGAAGTATTTCACCTTGCAGTCCTAGAACATATAACCCCATCTTGGCCCAAGCAATGTTTGAGTTGAGGCAACCAGATAACCAAAAGGCTGCAGCTGAGACAACTGGCAATTACAAACCACTACAAGAGTCATCACATAAGCAAATGGTCCAGAGCTTTCCAATTTCTGGTTACATACAATCTGAAAAGGGGTTCCTCACAGTCCCAACAATTTCCTATGTACTGAAAGTGAGACTGTACAATCACTGGAAGTACTGAACATGACAAAGGATCAAAGTTCTGAAAAATCGCCAAAATTAATTAATATAAAGGCATGAATTTACAGATTCCAGTAACATTATACCAAAAACAGCCTCTGTTTCCCAGATTGAGAAATGGACACAGAATTTTCCTGCCTCACAGGACATTGATAATGTCTTAATTAATATATAATAATTAATATATAATAATACTTTCTTCGTGCTTTCATCAAGAAAAACRTCTTTTAATGTTAAATATTAACTACTCACCAGAACAGGCAAACTCCCATGTTCCATTTCATACACTAAGAACCTTAAAGTTTTGTCATACAGATTCCACTTGGTGAGATCATGGGCACTGCAGGTAAAAAAGAAATCATAATCATACACTAAGCAAGAAATGAAGACTCACCTAATCAGACAGGTTAAATGTATCCTATTTTTGCTTTCATATGATGTATAGCAATAATATTAAACAACTAAATATGAATTATAAGGGGAAAAAATGTTCATCATCTAACACTGTAACCTTTAGACCACAACTATACCGTATGCATTCCTATCACAAAACTGCAGTGTTATGAGGAAAAAAAAAACTTGAGTTCTATATCTTTTGCTATACTTTAYGCATGCTCTTTAAGTATCCAAAAAGGTCTAAAGAACCATTTCCTCAGCCCACTCCAAAAGACTATTTTTAATAGTCTTGAGTATTCTCAAGTCAACATTAGACTTCTCTTTGCAAAAAGAGAATAGCCCCAGCAGGCTGGACAGGTAAAAGGCACATTGGGAAGGCTCAATTCCCCTAACCTCTGTACTATCCTGTGTGACAATTTACTTGGTAAACAATCTCTGGGGAACACAGGTTTTGAGAAACCATATTTTAACAAAAGAAGATCAGATAAACTATAAATAAAAAGCAGATTATATCTGCTGCGAAGAATGACTGCATTCACTATGTCCTCTTCAGACTAAMCACCAGCACTGTCAGTAAGGCTGTGGAAAAACATCCAGCTATGAGAGAGGCACCACAGAGATCTCTGTGTCCACTCTGACATCTCAACTCAGTAGTGTACATTTCTCAGGCACATTAAAGCTGCTGCTCAATAAAGAGTCCAAAGATAATTCCATATCCAAGAATACAGTTCTATTAAGAAGGAACTAAACCTTSCAGCACCTCTCATAAGGATCACTTCCATTCTCTTGTAAAAAGCCTCTTAAACCCAACAAGCAATTCTCACTTTGCATGTGTAAGGCTGACACTTTAGGTATATGGAAACATAAATTGTATAAACATCTCACTTATGAAAAGCTGCTACTCTTCTTAAAGCAGAGTGCATCCGGGAAATTTCTCCTGCATCCGCACAAAATCCTCCTTCCTAAATCATGAAAGTTTGGGAAACAGAAAGAATTAGCCAGTGTGGGTCAAGGCAACTACTGTGCTATCTTCCCAACCAACCCACATGCTTCGAGAACTCTCCTCCAGCCCTCCCCAGTACCTTAATCACACTACTCAAGTCTTACAGTACAGTAAAAGTAAAACAATGTAACTGCACAGAACTTCTGTAGGGAGGAAAAATCCCTGTCATTAATAAACCCATGGCAGCCCCCATAGACTGAAGTATTGCTAAGACAGAGCAAAAAGTAGCAATTAATCTAACATAGTCCCTCACACAGTTGTTAAGGATCTCTGGAAAGCTAAGTGTTCACATGGTGCTGACCTTCCTTGCTTCCAGCTGCCAGATCACATTCAAAGATAGCTAAAAATATATTAAATACTTTCCCATAGATGCAATTGCTGTAGTTTCCACAAGCATACTATGTGATTCTGGGGGACGAAATACACAACCAGGAATTAGGAGGGAGGAGTTCCAGGAGAAAAATCTCTTTATTTAGATATAGATCACACTACGGAGGAGTCGAAGAATCCCTGGTCTTGCACTTATCTTGTTTCTTATAAGTACACATTCTCCCACATTGACATAGATCKCTATTTAAGACCAATAAAATTAATCCAATCTGAGGTTAGGGGATTTTTTGGCTTGACACATTTTGCAATATCCCAGTGTCCAATAAAAACCTACCAGTGTTAACTCTCATACCATGGCATGACACCTGTTCATGACGGCACAGTTGATCAGATCAGCTGCAGGCTTCTGTTGTTCAGCTCAGCCAGCAAGCTATTCATATCCCCACCAGCTGTTTCTGCTTTTTAGACCTAATGAAAAGCTTTGAGGGAGACTCTGCAGTACTCTTTCAAGGGGAAAGTCATTATTTCAAAGACTCTCAAAGCTATACAATCTGCATTACAGACTGCTGTTTGCTATTTTTTCCGTACTTCCAAAGTGAAAGCACAAAGGGCATCCTGTGCACAGTCAAATATGCAGAACTACAGAACTGYACCTTTTTGGGAAGAGCCTCATCAGCTATAGATCAACAGCACCTCTAGCTRATCTTGCACATAGTATCTTACTGGAGCACAGCAACTATAGACYTTAGGTCCAGAATATCTGGTGTAGCACTTTTGTTCCTCACAAGTACACATTCTCCCACACTGACACAAATCAATAAAATAATTCCAATCTGAGATTAGAGGATTTTTTGGCTTGACAAATTGTACAACATCAGTRTCTAATAAAGGCCTACCAGAAGACATACAATGCCCTGTTGGTGGTGTGGACTACCTCGTTTACTATTTTCCCCATTSTATTCCTGCCAAAATATATCTGCTTCATTAAAATATAAAGAACCATTGTTTTCAGAGATGCAAACCCATCTTTTGGAGTTCTGCCCACTTCTAGCAGAAACAGTAGGCAAAGAGTAGCTCCATACCCCCCTTAATTTTCTTTGTCTTCCCTTTTTTTTTCCTAGGGAAACACTCTGCTTACTCCCACAATGAGTCAMACTCACCTTTTGCCAGAAGCAATCTAGTAGCTGGTTAAGCTGTTCCATCAACTCATCTATCARTTGAGTTCGAGCACAATCCACCTGGCTATAGATGGCAATTTCYTCACTGCAGAGGATATGATAAGTCCTGGAGGAAGCCTCGAGGACAGACATGTCAGAGTGTTTGGCCACAATGCCTTTTACCTCTCTCAGGAAAGCATCCAAATGCTGCAGGTGATAAAAGGGGTATTATAGGTAAATTGTACAAAAATCCACTTAAGCTTTTAATTATTTGACTAAGCCCATATATCCTTATAGGTTATACAAACAAGATGAAACAAATGCCAGTCAAAGGTGAAGAGGGGCAGGATTAGAGGACACAAGTTTTTTTTTTTTTGTGTTTGCAGCTCTTTTTCATTATTATGTCACTGGATCTTCCTAAAGCATGAAGAAACTGTGTTAAGTTTTCCTTTAGCAATACATGTTTAGCACTACATAGGGAGTAAAATATGCCTTCTCAAAGGACAGGTGTGTCTCCAAACAATGGARGTTGTCTCCCTCAGCAATGCAGAATGCAGGATGTTTTGGATCATGTTAGCAACTGGGTCTTCAGTCTTAGTGGGAGGAGGTAACTTGTGCCATTCTTCTGAGTCTCTCACTTCCAGTTAAAGTTTTGGGCTGAAATTAAACTCAGAGTGTTCGCCTAACACTACCTCCCTGGAAACAACCCTGCTTAAGAAYACATTAAGCTATTTCAAGGATTTCATCTATCTGTTTCTGACCATCCCTTTCCCATCAGCAGATATACTATCTCCATTCTTATCTTTCAGTTACTGTCATTTCCCAGCAGCTGGGAGTCAGCCTTCACGAAGAATGAAACCTATTCTACAGTAAACTCCTGGTAGACACAACTCAGATACATGGCATAATCCACCCTTCCTCCACCCAGGAATGAAAAACACCAGGRCTGGGTCTACCACATGAAACCACAAATCGTTACCCACCAAGGCCAGACACAGCATAACAGAACYGACAAGTACTAAGGTTTTTCTTTGCAGCTCCAAGTCAAAGAAAGTAAAGACTCAATAACACCACTTTCCTTAAGAGARACCATTTCATTGTATTTCAACAATTTTCTTCTTGTTCCAAATCCCATTAAACTCTCTASACTCTCACATAAACTTWGTACACTCCACACAAACCGATTATCCCAATTCCTATTCACCTTCTCTAGRTGTCCCGTACTGTAAACATCCAAATCATAATACTGAGGAATCTGCAGAAGATTTGCCACTTTTTGTGCATCTGTTGAATACTGCAGAGAAAAAACAGGATATGAGTACATTGCAGAAATTTTAATGAAATAGTTRACATGCATTCACAAAGCAGCTGTTAGTTACCTTTGCCAAAAGCTGAGGAAGCACCATAATAAAGTGTTCTGTAATTTTGGTACAATCTTCCAATTGTATTTTCTTCTCTTTCACTGACAAAATCTGCAGACAAAGCATTTTGTTTCAATTCTAAAATGTCTGAGATTTGAGGGGAATTTCACATGTAACCCAAGCTTAACCMACATTGTCTCAAGCATATCAAGTTAACATAGAATACTCTTCTATGAAGAAAACCAATTGTTATTTTTTTCTCTTTGGTAACCTTAAATTAGATGCAAATTGCTGAGCAGCTATATGTCATGGATAAAATGCTCATCATTTGTCAAATTGYTCATCATTTGTCAAAAACATGCTTCAAGTGGCTCTCCTCTAATGCTCATCTACTTCAACATGCATTTCTAATAAGACCTAGAGGTGAAAAGACGTTGCAACATTTCAGAAAAATAAGCTAGTTTATTTCCTAAGATACACCTGCAACTAGGAACAAGMTGTCTGGCAAAGCACATAAGGCAAAGATAATGTGATGACAGGACAATAAATAAGGCTAAGACTAAGCACTGACTTTTTTGGCTGCACCTCTGCCCACTGGAGGATGACCTTCAGCTGCTTCTCTGACCGTTGCAAGGATAATTTCAATGAGAGCACTTTCCTGGGCATCRCTCAGTGCTGGAAGTAAATCAGTTTCAGCATCACACAAAAGAAAAATGAAGATACAGCAATAAGTGATGTAGAGCCTACTCATCTGTCTAAGCAACTGTGGAAGGACACTACAGAAAAGAGATGTAGAGCTGCTAAATAAACAGCTAGAGCATGTCTGACTTAATTTGAACAAAATTATTTTATACATTTACTGAGTACCATTAATCCCTTAATGACTAAGTTGGGCTCCCAAAAACAGGCAGTTTTAATGAGGTCTCCTCCGACTGTCTCATTCAGGACAAATCTTCTTTGACTACTAAAATGCTCTAACTCACTGGGTCTACAAACTGATTTTGATCACACAACCAGCTCCAGCTCTACTAAACAACTATTCACAGAATCATATCATGGTTTGGGKTGGAAGGGACTTTAAARATTTATTTAAGTTCATTTCAAAATAACTCTACAAAAAAAAATCCAGTGTCAGATATCAGTGAACTCAACATATTACTCATTAGCTTTTGAGGTAGGAACTAAAGCCTGACAATAACTTCATTTCAATAAATTAATACCTTTAGATTGTTAAGTTTTGGAAAAACAAAGTGAATGCTACATAAGCATTATGGCTTAATTATATAAGTATTCTTTCAAAGTATCTAAACTAACATTACGTAAATAGAGAATACTGAATAAAACAAATACRTTGATATAAATATTACATTAGCAGYRCATTGAGTTGCATCTGCTTTGTGACACTTGGGAACCACAATATGGGACCAAATGGTACTGCAGTATGAAATGATCCTAAACTAGCTAAGGCAAAGTTCAAAAAATAGTGAATGAATGGAGAGATTAATTCAGACAAAACAAAGTTCTTTCCTTACCCACCTTCTCCATTTTCTTCAGTATTTTTTAATAGAAGAGTTGTCATGCACTCCCAGTCCTTCAGGAATTTGCCTGCCCARTCCCACAAGCTGTCTATTAAGTATGCAACATGTTTGTGTAGCTAGGGATTAAAAACACAAGTTTATAGAAGCAAGCATCACTAAAAGAAATACAGCTTCCTTCATATGTTCCTCTCCTTTTCTCCAATGACAAAGCTTTGTCATTCACACATATGTTCACGACAAGTATTCTAACATAGTTAATTTGAGCCCAAACAACATTCCAACACCATGTCTTCAATCGGATACAAAGCAGACAAGGAAAAGCAGAAAAAGCAGGCAAATTTATTTTATTTGTTCTTTTTTAATACAAATTTCAATCTAATTGTAATTTAAATKATCTCTTTGAAACTAGCTTCTGTATTGCTTTTATATTTCTGATTCTAACAGCTGAAAATCMAGTTATAGGACTAGAAACTAGTCCTCTATCGAATTCTTTGCAGAAAGATTCAAAACTGCTGTGCCTGATTCACTATGGCCAGTGGTCTGCGCCACTGCAAAAGCTAAACAGTGAACTACAGCACCGAGGCGATAAAACTCTCAATAAAACTACACAGTTTTTGGTCAGCATGGAGCCATGGCACAGCATCCCCCATCTGCCTGCAGAAAGACATGGACTCATACCAAAAAACCCTCACTTGGTGACATGAGTCTTTCAAGTTGCTTCCAGAAACTGCCTCAGCACTGATTCTCTTCATTAGCACACTTATAAATTGGTTTCAATACAACAGAACAGAAATGTCTTCATTAAAAACTTAACCTAGAGCATAAAAATATCCCAAACATTTCAGAGCTCACCAACAGAAACTGCTTTCAAAAGAAAGAAAATCATTGATTTAACATGCAAGACTGGGYTTAAAAGGCTTACTGCAGGGGCTGYTCTCACCTCACTCTCCAGGAAGAAGTCTATTAATCTTCTCAATTGGTCAGTACTTGCCCCAAACTTTCCTCCTCTTTTGGCCTGAACTTCTTTATCTCCCTCATGACTAAGCAGCCTGCCAACAGAAAAGGAAGTCAGTCGAGTTCTGCCATATTCTCCTTACACTCATTTGCCAATGTAACACTAATTCTGTCAAGATCACAAGGACTATATTTCTCTTAAGTGTCTATTTACTTACCCCAAATCCCACTGAACTTTTTAATCAGATAAAAGGAAAAAATATTAGTTTGTTTTCATTATGAGAGAAAGAGACTATTTCTGACAGTTTCACAGGTACTCTGCCAGTTTTCTGGATAATGGATGAAGTGCTCATACACCAAGGTAGGCATSCTTGAAAAGGGGCCTGCTCTAGGTCAAATTTAAACCTTAACAACAGAGTAGAGATATTAYTACACAGCCACTATTCACATCACAGTACATCTTGGAAATGCAGCTTCTTAAGGAAAGTACAGTATCTTGAAATTATTTACAAGAGGCAATTAACTCCACAAATGCAGTGGAAAATTCATTCTTCCTCTTCTGGCTGAAGTATGAAGCACAGTATGACACTTCCATTTCCCCTTTGATCCAAAATGACTGTGACTGCTGCCCACAAAAAGTGCTAATCCCAAAATAAATACAGGAAGGCCATCCCCACAGATTAATGTAAGGCTCAAACAKCTTGGATTTTAGAGCTGGACCATATTACTAAATGTCAGCAAAAGTTTGTACATTTTGGAAGTGCTTCTGCTGATGTAATTTATGCCTAAGTAACCTAAGTTAAAATATGCAGACATTCAGGAGATTTTGTGCAAACCAAGAAGAAGGGGCAGAAGGGCAGGAGAGCATAMGCATTAATATTAAAATTTAGCAGTCTGATCAGGGAAAGGAGTGTCACTAACATCTCTAATCACACCAGAACAAACATTCTATACTGGCAGAAGTGCTGGAGAGAAGCACTGGGCAGAAAAGAACGAGGGTGAGGTTTACAGGGTCAAGGTGTCCAAGCTGTGTAAAAAAAGTTATCAGGGCAGACACTTTGATAGCAAAAAGCAGCAGAGTTCTGAGAGGAAAAACATCTCATTTATGAGAGCACAGAAGATGAAGTCTAGTTGATGTTATACCAGATTCATCAAAACAGAAGTTTCTCTTCATTTGTCTTTCTGCTGGATTTGGCTCCACAAATTCCAGAATGTCAACATTTCAGCTAGAGAGGAAAAGACAACTAGGAGGAGATTCTCTTCCTGTGGAAAGACTCTTCTTGTGGAAACACAATTATTATTTCTTAATGTTCACCCACAAAATCCTTGCCTAAGTATTTTTATTTTCATTTATTTTTGTAAGTCAAAATTATCTCTCTTAGCCGCAGAGACAGAATATTTGTCTCTTCCCTTTTTAGCATGCCAACTCCATTCAACTTCATGCAACCATTGTTACAAGAAGTCCATTTATAAGAGTTACTCCTAGKGAAGACAAACCCTGTACTTCATTAATCTGACAGGAAATTGGGAGGGCTTTTTGATCTGCTGCATTTCTCATTATTCAAAGCCTTTACAATGTACAAGACAACTTCCAAAGGGAGAAGAGGAGGCCATTTTTGTGATTAATCACCAAACTAYGAAAATCCAGCAGATGCCAGGTGACATATTTGCTTGTAAGAAGCAAAGTAACAGGAAAAGGAAGTGGAAAGGAAGAAGGCATGCTCTCAACACAGCATGGCATTTGTGGGTAAGTCAGTAGTTTCATATTCTCTGAGTTAGTCTTGCAACTTTTCTCATGCTTATTGTGCCAGGGCTGCGCAGGGAAACATGCAACCCCTARACAGCATTTCTCTTCTGATTCATTAGAAGAAAGTTGGCACAGCAGAAAAATTAATGCTCAATGTCCCCCTTAAATAAATCCACCTTCATTCCAAAACAAATGAGAATATGCAAGAAGTAGGCAGGCAGAGATACCTTTTATAAAGGAATTCCCCAGCTGCTACTGCGAGTGGACGGTGTGTGGTATAAACAAACTGGTATAACATTTCACAGTCTTCAGCTGATAACACATCCTCACAGTTCCTAGGCAAAAATAACAACGGAAGTTATAGTCCAGCTTTATSTGCAAAGAATAGCATGAACACTACGTCCAGCTCTTACTAGACTTGATTCTCCATAACCGTGCAACTTGTTTACACAGCTATGTGTAAATTTTTGTAGGGCATTTCTAAAAATGCTCTCAAACAAAATTGGCAGTGTTCTTTTACTAACTGGGTAGAGAAACAGAGGTCTGTGCAAGCCATGACAAATCAGGCCCACTGCATAGACAAAAACATTAAATTGAAGTATAATTATGATTGTTTAGTGATCACAGTAAAAACAAAAATAATAATAAAATAATAAACTCATGCCTCTACTTTATGCTTATATATTCACCACAGAAGATAAACAATAAGAAACCTTCATTTTATAGCACAAATTATTTTTGAGTTACTTATTCCAGTATTTTAAAACCTACATTCTATCACACTAGGTTTGTACAGAGCCCCATGTAAAAAGAAATCAAAACACATTCTTGATAGCACAGTTATGGCTGTGACCTCTCTGCACAAACACATTCAAAGTCATTAYTTTTTCGTTCAGCTACACAACTTGAGAATACCACATGCCAGCCAGTAAACATAGAACACTCTTTGAGAGACAGAAATGGCATTAATATCAAACTTTTACAAAAAAGAAACTGAAGCATCAAGGTTGAAAAATCCAAAGATATAACAAAGAAGTCCAAAGCAAGGATTACAGTTTCCAAATGCCTGTTTCTTACTGCCACAACAATGTCATTGCACTAAGCTACTTCAGAGAAAGACAGAGCAACATGTGAGATCCTTAGTACAGGAGAGAGGTGAGAGGAAAGGGGTTTTATTTATCACTGCATTCAATCCTCAAGCATTAATAGTTTAAAACCTACAGGTGCAGTCCAATACCTTCTCTACAATTGAGTATTCATGCTATTCTTTTGATAGGAGTGATGTCTAAAAAAAATGAGCAGTCGTTCTTATGCTTGCCCATTTGTCTCCAACCTATCACATCCTTTAGCAACTTCACAAGTCCAGAAGCCCCAAAATATCCTCCAACCTGACTTAAAAAGAAGTGAGCTAGGTGATACAATCACTGGAGCATCCATTAAAAAGGTCTTTAAGTGAAAGTGCTAATAGTACATCTCCAAAAGTGATGAATCAGTCTCACAGGATAATGTGAAATAAAAACTGCAGACTTAAGGCAGGTTTTGGTGGACTCTTTAAACATGTAATTACCATGAGCATTTATCTGTAGTAATAGGACATCTAGGAAGTGCTCTGATAATACTTATCCAGAAATCAGCAAAATGTTAAATATTTATGTCACTCATTCAACCATCTACAAGAAAATGGAGTAAAAATGTGTTTATTGCTGTTGAACAGTAAAAAAATGAGAGAAGTAAAATAGTCCATTAGAGCATATGAATAAGCAGTGGTGTGTCTGGTGAAGCCATGAAAGAACAAACATATTAAACKTTCACAAGTTTAACAAGTGACAGTAAAACAAAGAATGACAACCAAGACCAGTTACAGGGAAAAAAAAAGACAATATAACAAGTCTTTATCTTAAAAGGCTATGGAGAATTTACAGAAATAAAATAGAAGTCTGACAAGGTTTCTTTCATTTTTTTAAATGTCAATCTATTATTCAGTTCTTTTAAAGCACTAGTTTCCACGAAGATGTCTTTATTTTCTGTCTCTATTTTTTTTCAAAACTTGTGGACAGGAGAAATTTCTACACAAAYATACGGGGATCTAGATTGAACAATACAGAATCACAGAGCACTGAGGATGGACAGCACCTCTACAGTTCAATCCAGTTCAATCCCCTGCTCACAAGAGGATCAGCTACAAGAGGCTGACTAGGGTTGTGAACAACCTATGAAGTCAAAGACTCTACAACATCTMTGGCAACCTGTTCCAATACTGGATCACTCCACTCCCACAGTGAAACMCCTTTTTTTCTTATGCTTAAATGGTCTTTCCTGTGTGAACATGCCAGTCAAGCATACACATTTTTTTTAATATTTAAATTGTTTTTTCTTTCTATGTCAGGTTTTCTCTTTTCAGCACATTTATAGAAATAACAAATGCAATACCTGAATGTCTCTATTTTAAGAGTTCCTTGACTAAATTTTTCAGATAGTTCGGAAAGCTCAGCAATATCTGTCTCTCTGGATAGATTAAGGACTCTTCCAGTATGAATAAAACTGCTTTTCCATAAGTATTTTCTATCTTTAGGAAAGAACCAAGGGATCCTGGTGGTCACCAAGTTGAACATAAGCCACCAATGTGCCCTTGCTGAAAAGAAGGTGAATGGCATCTCAATCTGCATTAAGTGCTACCAGCACATGTTGAGGAGGTGATTCTTCCCCTCTATGCAACACTGGTGAAGCCACACCTGGAGTGCTGGGTCCAGGGCTGGACTCCCCAGTACAAGAGACATACTGGGCAGAGACCAAGGAGAGGCCACAAAGATGATCTGGGGATCATCCCTCCTKGGACTGGAGCATCTCTCCTATAAGGAAAGGTCGAGGGAGCTGGGACTGTGCAGCCTGGAGGAAAGAAGGTTCAGGGGAATCTTAGCAATGTATGTAAGTACCTGATAGAGGCAGTAAGAAGAGAGAAACAGGYTCAGCTCAGTGGTGCCCAAGACCATAAGCAAAAGGCACAAACTGAAACACAGGAGGCTCCTTTCTGAACATGAGGAAATATGTTTTTACTGCAAGGGTGACAGAGCACTGGCACAGGCTGCCCAGGGAAGTTGTGGGGTCTCCACTGCTGGAGATACTCAAAAGCCATCTGGGTACAATCCTGGGCTCTACATGGCTCTTCTTGAGTAAGGGATTGGACCAGATGACCCTCATAACTTCAGTTGTTTTGTGATTTCCAAAATCCCAACCTCCCTGTTTTTAACTCTGTCTTCTAAGATACTGGGAATTTGCCAGTTACATTAAATTAGTGTAGTGTTATTTCCTCCCTCCTCAAGACATGCGTAGGACAGACRGAATGGCTCCCGCTGCATAGGAGCTAACAGCAGAGAAGCAAACAAAGAAGAACACATTTTCTTTGCAGCACAGACTGACAGACACTCCTGACACCACTTGAGCACTTGATCTTTTGTTTTTTCCTTCCCTGAACAGGAGGGAATACCCGTGTGTACTACTACTATAAGCTTTTCACATACTGTTCAACCACCACTCTCAGAGCCACAATGAGGTTTACACTCATAAGTCCCTCTCAAATGAGTGCTCAGGCATTTGTTTTACCTGCCCCTGCAAGCAGCAGCACTTGACTACACCTGCTACCAGCAGCACTAACACTACCACAGAAAATGAGTGCCTTCTTTTTTACACACATACCACGGAAAATGAGTGCCTTCTTTTTTACACACATACCCAGAAAATGAGTGTCTTTCTTTTTTACACACATACCACAGAAAATGAGTGTCTTTCTTTTTTACACACATAAGCCAATCATCAACTACCCGAAGGATACAGCAATAATACTGCTGCAAATTTACAGCCCTCAGAATGCCATGCAACAGATAAAGGTTAAGCCAGAAGCGCCTGCCAATGTTTAGGTACCTAAAAATAAACAGGCATGGCCTGCCACATACCAATCCCATGACATTAACATTTTCTCTGCACTTCAGTGTGAACATGTCACAAAGAAGAAACTGGGACATTCTAGAGGGAGAYCATAGACCCATTTTGTTCTGCATATGGCACCAGTTGAAAGATTTCATATCTTGCTTTCTGTTTCATTTAGTTGCATGCAAGAGGTGTGACTGCTGGAGTTGCTGTTGCACCTACCAAGGACAGCCATCAAAATCACAAGAGCAAAATAAAAATACGCCTGATGCACTTCACAGAGTGTTCCTCCAGTCTTTGTTTTCAGTGGCTGTGCAGGGCAAGATCTGCTACACATTATGGTGTGACAATCCAAGGTAGAGCATCTCAATCRGAAAAGAATATGCTCATTTTGCATTCAAAATTAAGTCAAGCATCCAAATATGCAGATGCATTGTAAAAGCAGTATTTGTGTACTGAGCACTAGCAACCAAAACGAAATATGTTGAAAGTATTCTAAAGTCTGCAATAAAAATTTTAAGTACAAGAATTTTAAGTACTAATCTGCTCTGTAATCTCACTCTCACTCCCTTCCTCTCATTGCAGGTATTTCAAGACACAYTTTGGTGATCAGCAAAATCACAACATGGTTGCCACTACAATGTAACAAYAGTCCTTTCCCGCCCACTATACAATAGGATCAGCAAGTTACACTACGTGGTGATTATGCTGTGGCAGAGGTTTGTGCTTAAAACACAGTTAAATTTCTAGTTACATTTAATGCAAACCGAAGTAATTTCCCCTGTGCTATTTATATATTCAAGCTAATTGTAGATTTGTGTCCATACCCGTATCATTTGTAACCTTTCCCCATGCATCTACTGCATGTTACCTAATTACTTTTGATGCTCTCTTCCAAAATCCCTCCACTATTTCAGGTAGTAAAGCATACAAAAATTAACAGAATTGTCTAGCAGTAGGCACACTAAACTAATTTGCCTCCTGAAAGGTAATGTTTTCAGTAAGATACCTTGGTCACTCATGTTTTCTCCCTCTTTATTTCCTTCCTGGCTCTATTCCCTGTCAGATCCTTTGCAACATTAATGCTAACAATTATGCATAATTCAGCACCATTAATAATTTCTATTATGCTAAACCTCATAGGCTTATTTCAGTTTCAGGACTGCATCATGCTGTGTAAAAATAGAAATCTACTAGCCCAAAGACTGGCATTCAATTGAGACAACATGCAACAAACAAGGTAAAAAAAAAATCTCAACTCACACAGATAGGCAAGAAGAAAATACAAATATAGATTTGGAAAAAAACAAGCATATGCATAGCAAGAGAGTTTTGAATCAGTACTGTGAATTTTTTTAATAATGTAACACATATAAGTGAATTGAAAAGATCAGTATTTTCATTGCCTCTTTAGCAACCGAGAGAGAATGTAAAGGCCAACAGAGTTTTATGGGCCAGTAGTAGACAGAGYACTCAGTGTACATTCCATAGGAATGGAATGCAGTGATGGTTAAGAGATGCTCAAAGCTAATACTAACATAGATTGAGCACAGCTCTGCTGCCACTGTAAAACATCACAAAAATGGTCAACTAGCAACGAGGTCTTGCTGCTATATTCACCCAGAAGACAACTATGGAAGACAGTAAAAGAAAATTACARACATAGTAAGTTTTTCCCAAGAAAAACCACCCAACAGACAAATTGGAAGAAAAAAATCTATTGTTAGTCTTGCTTCTTGATGACTCATGACACAACAAAATATTTATTCCAAGATTAGAGACATGTTCTGAAGGTCAGTACCTCACAAGTTAAGATTTTATTTTATTTTTAATAATTAATGATTCCAGATCAACTACAGGGAATTCAGACAGAGATTCTTGCCAGTAGCTTTCAAAATAGAAACTTGATCTGAAAGGTCTCTCACATCTCACTAAAAATGCAAGTTGGGCCACTTGAATTCAGCTGCCAAATTTGCAGATGACAAAAATTACTCAAACAGAAACCAATACAGCATGACAAAAGTGGCAAAAATTTTACTACACCGATTATGTTAGTAGCCATGCCATTTATACAAGCTGTCATTTATCACTCTATTTACCTTTCCAAGGCAGGGGAATTGCTGCTCCCAGCCCCATATAAAGCTTTACTGCACGTATCAAGTGGCATTACTGCTCAATATCCAGACACTGGTTTTGAGCTATGAGACACACTTATTTGAGACACAATAGCCCTGCAGGTGTTTGCTTCTGCAGGGCCAGCAGCAAGTCCTTTCTGCCACTATTGTAGGTACTGAGGTATCAACTTTTCTCCTGCTAGAAAAGGATCTTGATACAGGCTCTTATTAAGAAGCCCCTACATGTGACTGTCTAAATTGTCTGCATTCTCTTCACAGTTATGGACTGGTCAGCACTATTCTTATCAAAGAGAAGAGCTGTTGCTGAATTTCCTTATTGAGTCCTAACTCAAACTTTCACCACTCCAATAATTAAACCTAATCAGTAGGACTCAGAGCAACTCAGGGGGACCGTAGAAGAAAGCAGGACGGCTATGCAACAGATAAGCAACAAGAAAGAAAATTATGTATTTGCTAGGCCTCTACACAGCCTAATTAAAAACAATTTCATAATGCTTTAATTTTACTTATGAAAACTACATCTTATGATGGAAAAATATCATTCAGAAAACTTTAGAAGGAATTTATTCACAGTGGAAACCATATTTAAGCAAAATTCAGAAAAAATTACTTCAGGGAAAAAAAAAACATTGATCAAACTTTTATAGCTGCAGCTTGCATTAATGAGAACATGATCCCTTATAATAAAGCCAGAGATGATAAACAGCTGCRGTGCCAATATAGCTCTTGTTAATTCAGATACAGAACAAGTGCAGCCATAACTGGTGTGTGGAATCTTTGTACTTCAACAATGGTGAGCTGCTCCTCCTAGCACAGGGACACGTTATCCATTGTGCTTTGTTCCAAAAGCTAGGCACCATGAGGAACCAAGGGATGTAAAAATGGACACTGTGAACATAGGAACAATATAACCCTAGCTACTCACTAGTGAGGCCCAAACAATGGCACTACCTTCAGAAGAGGGTGCAGTGTTCACAGCATCATATGCTGTTCTGATGTGCCTATTGAAGGAGGCCTGGAAAAATGCCATTCAAACCAGTGGAATGTGAAGTGAGATAGGACATTATAAAGGACACTGAAATTTAATGTAAAWATCTACAACACTGTATCAGTTGATCCACTAAGGTCTACACACTCATCTAGCAATGAGTAATACTTCTGGCTTAAATGGAGAAGCAAATTCCACAAGGCTATTGGACCATGTTTCATGCTGTACATGGAAAAAARCATGTTCATCACCAGAATTCAACTTACACTGTCAGACAGAAGAGACACTGAGTCCTAACATCTCAACTGTATTACCAATGGAATGCAGTGAAGTTTTTATTCCCATTTTGCTTTGAAAAAGAGGGACAGAAAATTTATTCTTCATATATTTTGCAAATAAAGACATTTCTAAAATAAACATGCTGCTCAAGAATGTWTCAGAATAAGATCCATATACTTTGGTAACACGAATTCTTCCCCACACTTCCAGCTGTCATTATCCGACCAAACTATGGCTGGAAGGTAAATTTCCCAAGAAAACAACTCTTCTGTTAGCTTTCCACCTCAGCAAAACCAAAGTATCACACACTTGCTCATTTCCTGTCAGTCAATCTGCTATGGGGTCAAAAGCCACCAGATTCTCTGCCCTGGAACCAAGAATCTGAAAGTCCAAATTCTATCAACAGCTTCAAAGCTCAAGGCTTTCTGCATCAGGTGCAGAGACAGGGAAGATGGCAGAGCTCTCCAAGCTCCTGGTCAAGGCCTGGCAATCCTGGGACAGAAGATAGGGTGGGGAGCCCATCTTTAGTGGGAACTTCCCGCAAGACAGTAAGTAAGATGCTCTTTTTGAGAAAAGCCAAAATTAAAAAAGGTGCAATTTCCTTTCRGAGGGAAATGTAAAGATATAAAAATGTAGTTTTCAGATTGAATCTCAGCACAAGGGTTTTCTTAACACTGGCATTTCCCGCAGAAARGAAATGTCATGTCTTGAGCAGCTTTACCTGTAACTCATAGCCTGCCAGAAGCAACTGTTTCCCAACAAGTAATTGATTACAGGAAGATTCATCATGATTGTACCTGGGTCTTGTTGCCATTAAAACAATACAGTAAATTAAAAAAGAAATTATTTACTGTGACATAAGCATCAAGAGTTTCATGGCTTGAACTGCTACTTCATGGTCCTTGTCCAGAGGCATGGACACAATTCGATCCTAATGGATGTAAAATGATAATAAAAAGATGTAACATGGTTTGCTCTCAATAAACATGTATTTTTGCTACAGCTAGATCATCTACACTAGTACAGAAGAGATTTATTTTTATTTCAGCAGCTATTTCCTAAGAGACATAAGGCAACTTGATTACTACCAAGTAGTTCCCCAGCCCCTGAAAATTAACAGCATGTTAATTTTTTAACTGAATAAATCATGCAGTAATATGATATTTTTATAGATGTAATGTATGCGTTCACAAGAAATCAACTACACACTACAAATTAAAAGTGACTGACAACTTGTTTCTAAGATGTTACTACTGGCACTTCAGTATGTTAAATKAAGGTAAGCCTCAAATTACAAGCATTATATAATCAGTTTCTCCCATTAACAATAAAGTGTCTGCACCTACACATTACAGAAGTCAGTGCCTTGCTGGAAAGACAGTTAGGACTTAAGTCATAAAGATAGCTCATGGCATAGCAGCAATATTCTTGACCTCCAGAATTCACAATATTTTAATTCAGTGCACATGCAGATAGCTCAAAAAACCAGAAAGCTTCCCATTCCACAGAACCTAGAACTTGCACACAGTTCAGTGTGGCCTGTATCTTTATGATATATTAAACCTTAAGACTTGCTYGATTTGGGACTAACAGTTGCACCAATTAACATGATTTCTAAATCTCTATGTTCATTTTCCTTTGCACCTTCCTTTTCCTCACAATCCAGCTGGAAGATGTGTAAGTCCACAAATCCTGAGTTTGAACATTCAAGGGTAACGGAGCATGTGTAACTCCCATTTGCAGGAAATGGATTGATGGTTCTATCATTATATTCCCCATCACTGAGAAAGCACGATTTAAACTTTGAAACTTGTATGTTGTGTGTAGGTCTTTGGATTTCTTTTGCTTAGAGGGGGAGGAGTTGGTTTTGGGTGGGGGTTTTTYCATTGGGGGATGGAGTTTGCAATAATTCATTTACACTGCATCCTCCACACAGGGAGATGGCAGTACAAACAGCCTGGAGCTATTTCATCAGTCTTTACTGAATACCAATCCTGCATTTGGTTGCACCGCTTACAAGACACAGAAGGATAAGGGACTACCACATAATTATCTAAAATAGAGGTCAATCTTAGCCAAGTTTCATTCTGAGTAACTTACTCTTAAGATACCAATATTAATCTATTTCTTGTTCTTTGAGGATCTGCTATAGGTATTTTTTTACTATTAGAAACTGCTTTGGCATACAGATTAACCGTGCCCCTTTTGCAAAAAGAACATGGATTGCCACCATGTGGAGRCATTGATTTGTCCTGAGAAGGTACAACCCTGCTGGGATTAGAGCACCTGATGAAATCATTACCAAGGCCAGGGTCAAAAAAAGCAATGTGCTTACTTCTTAAATGAGTCAGGATGTTGGAATATGATAAAAGCAGAGTACCAGGTGGGTGAAGCCCACAAAACAAGCTCTAAAAACTACAGTGTATGACCTGATTTGTTYAGGAAGGAGATAAGGGATCCTTCTTCAAGATTCATACTGACATGGTAGATCAAGAGAGCCAYTCCCACATCAGTGTGACACATGGATAGCCAGTACACAGTCTCAAAGGTTAACCCATTATCAGGGGCAGCAAATAGAGATCTTTAGCATATTAAATTCTTTGTCATCTCCAAAGATCCTGTAAAAAAATCTGGGCCTATCCAGATAAATGGCAGAGATAACTGACGACAGTGAATATCAACACCATTCTGTGTGTGAACTAAAGTGAAATGAAAATTCCATAGAAACAGAGGGAAACATTTCTGGAAAACTCTTTCAAAACTTTTCATCCACTCAGTCAACAAGRCTGTTTCTGCAAGAGCCTAAGTTCCTCTCAGCCAAGAGAGTGGGGACATCATCTCTGATCAAAACATCAGGCCTGTGCATACACCCAATCTAGAATTAAAAAAACAGCAAACAAATTTATTTACCTTGAATCTGTTAGTAAAGAGATCCATCCTGGAAACAAGTTCTTTTCTGCTATAAATTCCCTGCAGTCCCAGAAGACACTTCAACCGCACTTCAGCTTGCTACAAGACAAAGACAAATTGGCTAACAGTAAAATAYATGTATCATTGTTATTCACTATCAGCATTTATAACATGTAAATAACAGTTCTTTGTGGATACCTACAGCAGGCTACCCAAATGCTGCCTCGTCTACTTTATTAGTGACATCAGTACCATGTTGTTTATGTGTACACACTTATCTCTCACAGAGGAAGCCTGCAGTGAGCCAAACTTAAAGGTAACATCAAAGTTTGTGTTAGGCTCCCTAAGAGTCAAAGAAACTCTCACAGACCTCACAGTTAATAAAAGCAACAGAATGCAAAAGATACAGGRATTGTGCTAGTCCTCTGTTAAGGAGGACAGGAAAATGGATGACCTACTTAGTACAACCAGCACTCTCCTATACATCAGACTTTGCTTGCTTCTTTTTAACAGTTGACTAGGACAATCGTTAAACACTGACAAGGACTCCAAGAAATTCTGGATTTCTCTGGATTCCCAGAGGAAGAGGTACAACTTAGCAATGCACTGGCTTATCATTGTGGATTCTAACAAAGTTAAGTGTCATGCCTTCTTCCTATGTCTGTTTCATGCTAAAACAAAGTATTTTAAGTATCCTAAGAAAAGAGTTGCTCTGAATTCAGCCTAATTAGTTAATTTAGGCAAAATATATTTATCTGTACAAGGTGCTGTTTCATTTTATTAATACTGCTGCTTCATAGAAGGCTCAAAAAGAAATCTTTTCCTCAGTCAGCTTTTCAATTATCTCATGCATATTGCTACATCTTTCCAAGAGAAATCTTTAAATGACATTAGGAAAGTCATTCTGATAATACAACATAGAAATGTGTTCTGTAAATTTATAATGACARTGATATCAGCAGAGACACTAAAATGAACTGCAGGCTTTGAATCAGTCTCTTCATATTTCTTTCTTAATTCCTCTTGCTAACAATAGCAAGAAGAATAAACCAGGAAATCCAAGAAAGGAGACCACCTACACATAGGCTATCCATTGCTACAAGTTCCTGTTCACCTGCTTAGATGGAAAGCCAAGGRTGATACCCAAGTGGCAGGCTTTGACTAACAGGTTTGCTTAAGACAGCTTTTTGCTAATAATATAAAATGAAAGATCAACAGGTAGCAATGCACACTGCTCTMTAATCTGCCCGTGACACACCAACAGTACTTATTCTGTACTGTACTTTAATTTTAAAGTCTCTGAGGAAGAGACTTGCCCACACCTGCTGCTTCCTAYAGCCACAAGGGCTGCACAGCACAGAACTCACTCACAAGTGCTCAAGTGGGATCCATCACTGCACAGTGGCMCAAACCCAGCTCAGTCAATGTACTGCAAAACTGGCTTCAGCTGACCATGGTTCTTTTTCTGCTTTGAATAGGGACTGGATTTGTGCTTGGGAAAGGGAAACCCAGTGGACACTGATTTGYTGAATGGTCATATAGCTCTTGGCATGGGCCTGGTAATGTCATTTGTCAGTCAGGTGGAATCAAGGGTAAGCCTGCAGATATAAAGTGTAACACACCAAAGTACACCACATACCTTCTGAGGTATCCTGTTCCCACCCAAAAGCTCTCAGCCATAACCCCATGCATGTATGTTTCTTGAAGTGTTGAGAAAATTAACGCTAGTAACTACAAATAACCACTTCTATGATTACTGCTGTTATTTTCCCATGTTTTCATCTGCATTTTCTCCTTCTCAGCCACCTCCTGTTTTCTAAATTCAACACTCCCCACACTTTTGGAAGGATGTGAAGTAATGCTCAATGATCAAGAAACTATCTCACTACCTTCAGACTTATCAACTGTTCCCTGGACCTAAACACAGTTAAACTATTTCTAGCAGATGAACCTAAACTTGAAAGCATATTTTTATACCACAGTTTCACAGCTCTTACTGGGCCATAGAGAGATTCTCATAAACCATTTAGAGCATCTTCTAATGTTGCATATGATGTTATAATGGCAAAATGGTATCTCATGGAGAAGAAAGATTGTTTATTTTCAAATAAAAGACTCTGAAGACAAAAATGTTAATTTTATACTTACTTCCCCCTCTCTCCCCTTCAAATCTTCACAAATGACTGAAMTTAATCTCTGTTTACAGTGCTGTAGATGGCCTGGYTTTCCCCCACCCTTAGAATACTTTYGTGGTTGCTCCACTCTGGAGCTAAACTATTTGGCAAACTTSTCTGTTACATATATTAAAAGAAAATTGGCTCTGGGAGATAGCAGTTTCATGCCATCCACCCTCAACAAGGTGGGAGAAAAATGCTTATTAAGAAAGAGTAGTGGGAAATTACATTCATGTGTATATGTCCTGGYTTCAACTAGGGCAGAGCTAATTTATTCTCAGTAGCTATTACAGTGCTGTGTTTGGAAGAGAAGAGGGAGTGAGCAAAAGGCTGCATGATGTTTCATCTCCAGCTGGGCTTAAAACCACAACACTATATAAAAACACTGCTCCCCTGTTGGTGCCAAAAATGCCCTGCTCTCATTTTGAAATCAAGCAATYTGACAGTGGCTGCAAAACAAAAAACACAGCCAGGATTGCAGCCACCAGTAGTGGCACACTATCAGGTCTCAGCCAACTWTAGAATATGGAAGTCACCTCACTTTATCTCACTCTGTATCTGCATTGCTTTCAGATAAAAAAAGCTTTAGGAAAAAAACAATAATTTCAAGTTGCCAGTAAATGGCTTTGGGTGAGCTGTATGCATTAACCAGAGACACCAGCTGTAAATTTTCACTGCAGAATACTGTGAATGAAGCCACATCATCTTCAAAAAAATGACTTTTTCTTTTGAGAATTCTACAGACTGAACATGCACTAAAAAGATAATCTGATCAGATAAAATTTATGCAGGAAAAACCGGCAGCTCTTGATAGATTTGTCGTCCTAAAAACCCAAATGCCACCTTTAGAGGGACGACACAACGCMGGGAAGCAGGAGCCTCGCGCGCCCCCTCCTGGCTCCCTGACAAAGTACAAGCGGTATCACAGAACACAAACATTGCCCGGAGCGGACACAAATCCCGGGATGTTTCGGGRTGTACACAGGAGCTACAGACACCTTCAAAGGCGGCCTGAAGAACTATTGCACGTCAATTTCGCTAATTAGTCATTCCCCATAAATACTCCTATCTCCCTAAAGTCTCTTACGCATTTTCAAAGCAAGAGAAAAGGTGTATTTCCACAGAATCACAGAACAGGTCAGCTTGAAGGGGACCACAGTGGACCATCYGCTCCAAGCTCCCTGCTCAAGCAGGGTCATCCTACAGCACATGGCACAGGATTGTGTCCAGACAGTTCTGAGTATCTCCAGGAGGGAGAYTCCACAACCTCTCTGGCCAATCTCTTCTAGTGAACAGTCACATTAAATAAATTATTCCCCATATTCCAGTGGAATGCCCAGTGTATCAATTTCTGTCCGTTACTTCCTGTTCTATTGCTTGGCATTTTGGACTTACTTTTTTTTTGTTTTTTGCTTGTTTGCTTTGGTGGTTTTTGGAGGATTTTTAAATGTGCCTCTACTCAAAAGAAAAAAAAAAACGAACAAAAAGGTAAAGGGAGAAAACCCTTTGGGAAACGGCTGGGCTTGCTGTAAATATTTTCTGTATCTGTCCAACTCCAAATGCAAAATGCAACATTGAAGACTATTGTACTATAGGCAAGATTTATTTGTTCATTTTTATAAATTTAAACAAAATTTTATATGTTCATCAAGCCTAAAAGCAGAATTTCAGAGCACTTTTAACACTCTCCAAAAATATCAGCCATTTTATAATTCAGAAATAACTCCTAATTCAGTGACATATAAAAATAACAGGACATAAAGGGATTCACACGAACTGGAAAAATTGTTCTCTGCTATTTAGTGTTAAAATGGCTTTAAAAATAAAACCTGAAATGGGGAAGAAAGTAAATTCTTTTTGTGCCACCATAGACTTAAACTTGTACTCAAGAATTTAAGTGCTAGGACTCTCAAAAAAGAATTTAAAACAAAGAATCCCATGTACTGTCTTGAGTAAAAAAGAAGCTTAAACTTTACCTTATCATTYAGCATCCACCCAATATATTTTAAGTAGCTATCATTCAAAAAAGCATCTGGGTAAGTCTTAATCCAGCTGCAAATTTCTTCCATGCAAGTTGCTCTGATCTCAGGGATAACATCACTGTGAAATTATAAAAGCATAATATCAATACATTAGAAATTAATTTCAAAACAAATTATATTATTTTCAATATTTTTATGTTCTGCAAAAGCATGTACAATTCAAAATATTCCAAGCATCTTCATATAATGTTGCAAGTTAGTCTTCAATCAATTATTAAAYCACTTTTAGCCACAAAGTTTCATGCAATAATAGTTTTGGAATTCTGAGTAYCTTCTCATTCACAAATGCTCTGCTCTATAGCCAGCAGTAAGAACTGAAAGAACATACGCAAGAGKTCCTTCTGCAGGCCAAAATTCTTAAAAATAATCTAACTGCTACACTTTCCTTGACACCATCAGTGCCTCCAGGATGTTTAACTTGATTCTTGTATCTATACTGTCTGAGCAAGAGTTTCTTGGGAATGCAGATACACATCACAGCTTTATTTTTACTCTTACCGGTAACGGTTTACAAATGTCCCCTTGAAAATAGCRTTCATCATGTTCTGTATCTCTACAAGTTTATGCTCATACTGAAACACAAAGAGAAATGAATGTTAATATTGGTCCCACAATTCACTACACATGAAAAGTTTGCATCAGGGCCCTTGGAATRCTACTGAGGTGCAAACTGCTCGTGTTTACACATGGTACCAACATAAAATGAGTGGTCTGTATCTACACTAACAACTGACCTTTTTCTAACTACATCCTGAGGTAATGTTTATGGGATGTCAGCTGATAGCCTGGAAACAAGGTACTTGTTTGACACAGTGAGTCTTGATCTATCAGTACACAGTAAGATATAGCACAACTACTAAGCAATCTTCTCATAYAGATCCAAATTCTCTTTTCATGTATTTAGACCGAGATGGAAGAAAGGCAAACAAAAGAATTTCCAAAATGCACAAGGTGTGTATTAAAATCCTGCCTGAAAATGTAGGCAGGAACTTCTGAAAACCCAAGTCATTTAGCAAACATATTCTCTCACCAACAGCATCAGGAAGGGTGACAAGTTTGAATTTTCCCTCCAACACAGACTCTTCCTCTGTCTTTCCCATAAGATCAGATTTACAATATCCCGTCTCACCCAAACACTCCTCCCTACTCTGTTTCTGTAACAGAGAAGTCCATAGACATCTAAAACTCAGAACAGGGCTAAGTGATTCTAAGGTCAGGAGACAAGGAACTATGCTTGATGTTCATGTATCAAGTCACCTTTTCCTTCAAGCCAGAGTTATTTTTCACAGTTATAGCTCTGCCTCTGGGAGTTGAAAAGGAGCTGACTGTTTTGAGCAGGGAACAAACAACAGAAACTGAGCAGCAAAAATTATACAGGACATCCCTGAAGTTCAACCCATTTTTATAATGCATTACTTACACAGAGATGACAGTTATCCTGTGTCCTTTTTGATTGATCACTAACATTAGGGCTTGTAATTTGTACAAACATACACAAAACTGCACTCCCAGAACACTGGAGCTACTGAGACAATTAAATTGTGTGTAAATCGATATTTGTGTAAAGATCAAGGGCTAATGATGCCAATTTAGAAAAGCAATCAGTAGGACAGACATCACAGGTTAACACTACATAGGGCAGTTATTACCTTAGTCATTTTTGTACCACTTAATCTAGCCAGTCACATCTGCTACACACCACGGACTAGATAAACATATAAACCTCAAAGAGCTGCAGGGACCCAAAAGCAAGCAGTCAGCTCTCCTTTTTAGACTTTCACACATCTCCCATACAAGACACCTCCCTAACCTCTTTCCTTTTTYTCTCTAGCTGATCAAGTCTGTAGCTGGTCCTCTTGCCACTTAATCTCTGCTTCTCCACCTCATACAATCTTTGAGCATTGTGCTTGTTGACATCAAGGTTCAGACGGACACTTAAAACTGCTGTCAGAAGTTTCATTGCTAAAAAAGAGACAAAAGCAGCACAATTAGCTTAGCTCAGAGATATGCAGCATAAATATATTCCACTTCACCACAAAAAGGATATGGTTAGCCAAATCCATTTTATAACCGAATAGGAACACTACTAGATTATAGTAATTTGTTTTAAAATACAGTGTTTATTTTAAAGGCTGACAATGATCAAAAAGGGAAGATTAAGTTCTATTTTTGATGATTTACAACTTTTGGTCAGAGTTGTGGTCAGAAAAGTACTTTAGTGGGCAACTCTCTTCTTAGCTTATGTAATTCTGACTTTTCTGCAACAAAATCTAGAACTGTGGAACAGCTGATTTTAAGTAACAACAAAAAAAGAAAACTCAACAAACCAAGAAACGTAAAAAAAAACCCTAAAAAAACACAAAACAGTGAAGCTGGCTCAGAAATGGCTGGGAATCCTAATACACTACTGAATTTGACAAAAATTCACATTCCTCTAGGGATTGCTGGATTGTTTGAACAGATTTAAAATCGATTTTTTGAGCCCTCAAAGCAAACAGTAAGCTTTAGAATAAATTATACTTTTGAGTGTTCTTTGCATGGCAAACAGGGTATTTATTTACTTTAGGGGGAAAAAAGTAGTAGCTTTAATTTCATCATGCTGCATGAAACAAAAATGTGTAACAAACAATGTTCATTTTGGCACAGAGACCACAAGAATAGCAGCTCTCCAAAGGAAGCTTCTTTAGGTGAAGCATTTACTGCAATCTCATCACATTAATTAGTGGAGAGAGAAAAATAACAACATAGAAAACTGTGAAAAATCAGTTACTGAAAAATATAATACTCAGAACAGTAAAACTCTGAAGTCAGTCATGTCACAATTAAGGAAGATTTCTTTATAAAGAAAAAATTGGCTTAGATCCATCAAGGCTAAAGCATTCAAATAAAATTAAATTCAGATAGACGTGGGAACAAACAGTTTCTATTACAGACATTTATATAACATACACTAAGAGGAMGGTACTCCCAGTGCACAAGAGAACYGCTCCAGTAAACAGAGCTTTTCAATTTTGAACTGTTTTGTTTGTACACAAGTCAAGAAAACTCAGCACCTCTACAGCAACTCTGCAAGTGATTTTACCTGCCAAAGTGCTTGTGTGTCTGAACGCTCTGACCATGGAATCTGCTAAGCCTGTAAGCAGGGAGATGATGGTGTTCATCAAGTAGTCATCATACAGGATGCTGCACTGGCATTGCTGGACAAGTACTGAAATGAATTCACAGAAATTTGCCTTGAACTTCTTCCAATAGGGTCCTGTTCTGATCAGCGGGTAGTCTTCACTGTCCTGTACAAGAAAGAGAAGTTGAGAGAAAACACACTAATTAGTTCTGTTTGTGCATTCACATCTCTCCCACTGAACATCAGATRGAGTTTTGCTGACAGTCCATTTCACTTCAGCCCCCCCCGCAACTTTTTTCATTGTTAATATTCCAAACTAGGGACAAGCAACAAAGAAACAAGCAAGCAGAGAGACAAAATAGCTTTATTAGAGCTACACTGTCACAACAGCTCATATTTGAAAGCAATGTATGCCAGGTAGCTGTGAACAGACAGGAGGAAGAAAGTGTGTAAAGGCAGTGCAGAATAAAGTAACTTTCACTGGCAYAAACCATGAGCACTCCTGGCCTATTCTATTCCCTCACAGGTAGCAGTGCTTCCCCACATCCCTATCCTTCCTCTTCCTGCAAAAGCATGGTAAAATCCAGGCAGAAAATGAAGTAAGTGGAAAGTGGAGACAAACAACTGTGGTGTGAACAGGATGGGACTGTTCTCCTCAGCAGGAGAACAGCTTGAGGAGTTTACCAGACTAAAGCTTAATGCCAAATACTCAGTCCTTCACCTACACCACCTGCACCTGGGTCTCCAAAATTGCCCACAGAAACAGTAAGTAGGCAATACCTTTGACATAGTGCAAAAAGCAAATGATAATAAAACCCTAAGCGTTCACAGTACCATTGATACCACCAAGAGGAAAGCAGGAAGATGGAAGCTGAAGTAATTTCTCAAACAAAATAGTGAAAGGTACACTAGAAAGACTTTGTAAAGGGCAGCCTCAGACAGTGTGAACATTTATTTCATTAACRCTTCACAGATCCCAGGAATGGCTCAGAATATGAATTTCCATCTTGATCATTTCCAGGTGTGAGTGAAGCCAAGCAACTCCAAAACTTCACTCACTATGGAAAACTTCATCCTGAATGCAGGCCATTGCTCAGCTGGTTCTTCACTAAGGGGCAAACACCATCTCAGSCACATTCTAACACAACTTCACACCCAGCATAACCTCCTATGCTTATAAAGTACATTTAACTTCTCTGGTAACTTTGTTTCCAAAGCACTGTGACTGTTCCTCTCTTTAAAGAGAAATGCAAATACAGACTGGCAACACAGCTGGCTACAACCTAAAGCACACTGGGAATTTGGAGTAAGTTCCTCACAAGGCTGTTAAGAGTCAATTTAGAGCCCAACAGCAGCAGCAAGTGMCAAAACATAAAGGGAAGTTTTCAGCAAGCCCCATTTAATGCTCCTTGATCATGACAAGGACAGTAAAAAGACCATCTACAACTTCAGGAAATACCTATTTTACCACCATAGCTTATTCTTCAACCCTAAAAGCAGCACAAATATACAAGGATCTTCACTTTCTGAGAGCATTTCTACTGTCCAGGTTAATCACACTGGGATAATGTTTAATGGTAACACACGCTGTAAACATATACATAACATAATGGRCACACCACCTAAATTTAGGCACCTAACTTGGCATTCCCTTAGATTCCTTTCATAACCAATAGAGAAGCAACTCTGCTTCCAGAAACCAACTTAGATTAAGACCTTAACACAGGTTCTTTCAGAAATTATTCAAATTACTCAAATGAGTGATGTGAGCTCCTGCTCTGACTCAATCTGGAAATGTTTCCTTCTTTCATTCAGAGTCTATGGAAAGAGAGGAAARTCTAAATGAAGTGCCAACAAAGAGTTTAGATAAATTCCCCACAGAAGAAGCTATACTACAGTTGTGAAGAACTACAGCAGCCCTACCATGTCCACCGGCCAAATMACTGTCAGGATCCAAGGATAGGCCATGAATTTCTTGTACTGCAACCCGGTTTCCTGTAATGCAGGAGACAAAATATTGAAAGTTTGTTAAGGAAATGGCACAGATAATTCATAGACAAAAGCATTACAAAGGACGCAACATATTTCAAAGGCCATTAGAACTTCAGAAAWTGTGTATTACAGGTGGCCCATACAATCCAAAGTATTACACAAAATCTAAATCCTTCTCATCTTGCTTGTATTTTTTACTAACTAATGACAGAAGAAAAACAGTCACATAAAATCTGAGTTTTCTTATTACAAATAGGAGACAACTTGTTTCAAAATTTGTAAGCAAACATATACAAGGTATAACCCTCATAATTAATTCTAATATATGGCCCCTCAGCAAGTCTAAGKATATATCCCTTTTCGACATTTGGCACCTAGACACTGTAAAACATCTAAACACTAAAAAAAAAAAAACATTCTTAGCTTTTCAAATTACAGAGAAGTATTTTCTGTATAGTGTGATTTGATTCAAAGATGTTTTCCCAATTCTACAATTATTCCAAGACAAAAGGCATGAAATCTAGAGTTCTTTTTCAGGTTCAGTGAAGCACAAGTGTTTCTACCCCCATCTGGCTGTACAGTTATGCATCCAAGTTAACTCTTCCCTTACTAAATGTTTCAGCAACAACATGGGAAAGGGAAGAAAAACTACCTAAGAACAAAGAACTGCAAGAAGTAAATGTCACAAGCAGGAAGAAAAGCAGAGGAGAAAAATACAAGATCTTAAAATACAAGATCTTAAAATAAAAGAAAAACAAAAAACAGTGCAAAGACAAGACTGTCTCATGACTGAGGAATACCATGGCTCACAAAGACAAAATAAATGCCTCAATAACCATATTAAAGCCATTCCCTGCTTCTAGTATCAGTGCAAGTTTTCACAGAATTATAGAAAGAGTGAAACTGAGAGGGACTCTGAGATCATCTAATCCAACCCCAGCTGCCCAAGTAGTGTCAGCCTGAGTAGGCTGCCCAGTGCTGTGTGTCACCAGTACCTCTGCTCTCAACCTCTGATAATGTGGCTACCATAACTAATGCCATTTTAAGATGCAAGCAGCTCTTCTCTGTTACCAAGCAGGTCATATATTCATTCCCCTTCCCTCATTAACAGGYTCTGAAGGTCCTAGGAACCAAGCAGACAAAACAAATATTAATTTCCCTTCCTAGTAGTCTCACAGTTCCTGGATGCTAGGCCAATTACTCCCTTCTTTACTGACTCTGAAGGTCCCAGGCAGGCAGGTGGTGGCAATGACACAGTCACAGAAAAGGGAAGCATCATAGCACCCAGAGCCCTGTCTATGAAATCAAGGTGCTGCAAGGCCTAAGTGGTRAGCTTTGACCAGAACTCCTGCTGGACAGTGAGACCTGAGCTACATTATAAATTTCACACTATGCTATTATATTGATTCTGCCTGTAGAAATCTTGTGCCATTTTAATCATAAATTGTGTGCCAATCATAATACAGAAAGAAATAAAGTTTTAATTACAACTACAATTGGTGCTRCCATCATTCTGTCAAGGAACACCTCTGTTGAGGTCTCTCAGCCAGGTACCTGATCTAGAAGCTAATCCTCCCAACTTTGTCTCACCTGAAAATTTGCTAACAGTAAACTCTGCCCCRGTGTCCAGGTCATTACTGAATATGTTAAACAGCATTGGCCCCAACAGTAAATGGGGGTACAGCACTAGTGACTAGCCTCCAACTGGACCTTTTGCTACTGAYCATTCTCCCACAGGCCTGGTTGTTCAACCAGTTTTCAGTCCACCTCACTGACCACTTACTTAACTCCTACTGCACCACCATGTCCATGAGGATGTCATTACAAAGGACAGTGTTTTAAGTTTTACTGAAGTCTTGACAAACATCTGCTGTCCACTCCTCATCCACCAAACTACTCACTTCRTTGTAGTTGGCTATCATGTTGGTTAAGCAAAATTTCCCCTTTGTAAATCCATGCTGACTACTCCTGATCTCCTTCTTGTCCTTCATGTGTTTGGAAATTACTTCCCAAATTAGTTGCTTCTTCACCTTYCCAGGGGAGACTGATCAGTTTTGAGTTTGCCAGATCATCCTTCTTGCCCTTGTTGAAAACAGGATGCTTGCTTTCTTTGAGAGTTCAGTAATGCCTCCCAATTACCACAACCTTTCAACCAAAAGGGACCTCACAATGACATCAGGCTGTTCCCTCAGCACTCCTGGGTACATTCCATCAGAACACATGGTCTTAGGCACGTTCAGTCCATTTATGTGCTCTGTGACCTGGCCCCCTCCACAGAGGAGTAAAATACTCTTTGCTCCACACTTTACCTCTGGTCTTAGGGACCTGGAATTTCTGGAAGATAGTCTTACCAGTAAGGACAGAAGCAAAAACAGGCATTGAGTACCTCAGGCTCTTCTGTGTCCTTTGTCACAAGGGCCYCTACCTCATTTAGCTGTGGGCCTATATTTTCCTTGGGCTACCTTTTGCTGTTGACGTATTTGTAGATTCTTTTCTTGTTGCCCTTCACATTTCCTGGCAAACTCAACTCCACTAACATTTCCCACTAACATAAGTGAGAATTTTAGGAGGAAGCATTGGTTCAAGGATCTAGTGCTGCAATGAATAAACTGAAYAGCAATGCCATGGTTGAATTAYTGAAATTATCATGAATGAATCYTCTGAATGCTAGAAACAAACAAYATRAATTCAAAGGCAAGATGGCATCAAGAAGATATCTGCCATTATTCTCCACTCTCATTACTATTTACACTACTACTGTCATTAGTTTTCAGACAATGTTTTTGAAATACAGGAGTCCCATATGACACTATTTCTCAACTAACTTAAACCACTAACTTCCATTTCCATCTTATTTAAGAAAAAGATAAGAGAGAGCTTAATTTCTATACAGAGCATGAAGAATACAGCTTCTAAGGCAACTTCAGAACCTGCCCTTTTGCCCACCAAGACAGGGGAAAAGGTTACCAAGCTGTAATATGTCTAGGCTGATGATAATAATAATCACATATTTGTATCTGCCAGAGAGTCTGCACCATCATGAGTGTTATTCAGGGCTAATTCAGTTGGGAAAGAAATGCCAGATTACTAATTCGTATGGCCAGACAAATATCGGCTCATTTCTGTCAAATATTAGCCCAAGTGCTACTACACTTCTAAAATAAAGAAAATCATGTTGGCAAATTCATCCTCTGTGGGAATTTCTACAGCAGCTGGTCTTTGAGAGATGCTCAATTAAAACAAGGCTGATGGCTGCTGCTTGACAAATCAATGATGAGATGACAMATATGGGGGAAAAAAGCACAGAAGCAACTGTGAGAGCACTGCAGAAAATCTAATGTTGTCGTAAWTAGTCAAGGAGCAGTCAAGAAGTGAAACAGCATTGTAAAGCTATGTGCTTTTCTTAATAATCCCCAAAAAATTAGATACTATTGTTTTCACAATTATCTAAAAATCTGAAATGCATTTTTCTTCTTCCATATGACATAATACAGTTAYTAAAAAATCATAATTGTCAGTAAAGTAGAAAGAATGTATTCAAATAAAAGTATCAGCTAAACATATCTTAGAATTAGCTCATCAGTAATCCATATTAGTATTTTTTAAAGGACCTATCAACCAAACACCAAAGGAACCATTAACTTGCTGCAATGCTGGGTTATATTTACCTTTATAAAGTCACTATCAAAAGAACTCCTAAGAGAAAGATTCAGGAAGACTGCAATTAGACAGCCCTAATAAAAGTCTCAAGAGTCACTTAAAAAAACCCAGATACTGCTGCTGCCAACATGGGTCATTATGACACCAAATTTCTCTTGCAAAAAACAAGTTTATTTTCCTAAATTAATTAAGTGGGGCAGAGCTCCTGATAAGCTAAAAGAATTCAGTCCAGCTTGACTATGAAGGTAGAGCCTACTGTTTATATAAAAAAGACATGTGAAATCAAACCTGTGCCTACCTTATCAAAGGTCTCTGTCATTTTTCGCATTACATCCTTCTTGTGCAAACTTTGAAACATCTCTGCTGTTACGATGCCTACAAAAAAGTAGTGTTTTAAAAAGAAGAGTTACTGACAACTGTACATTAATCATGTCCAAACCACAGTTAAGGACTTTATTACATTTAGAAACAYCAAATAAAGGGGAAATCTCTTTTATTTGTTTACACTGGTATGGGCAACATATATATGAAGTGACACATAAATTACTTGATAAAAAAAAGCACTGATGAACCAAGACTGAAATTCACATTAGAGAAGTCTGCTCTGTGCTGTCTGGAAAGGCTGATTCCTCTTTATTCGTACATTTCAAGGATTGACTAAAATTTTGCCCACTGCTAGTCAAACACCCCAAAGTTCTTCACATAAGAGAAGGTATATTAGTCGAAGACCTAGGAATAAAATGAATGTAAAAAGCACATTTCTAGCTGCTTAAATACACTCTGAGTTTTCAAACAGGATGGTTTTCTTAAAACTCCTACTTGCCATCCTGAAGCATTTTACCAGCAGACTGTCCCCAGAAGTCAGTGCCTCAATGTTTGTTATAAAACAAGAGAGCTTCACAACCSTTCAGTAAAAGCAACTGCAATGAGGCAAGAGATTGCTTTTCTAGTCACCAAAGCAGGGAACTGAATTTGCTAGCTGCTTATTTTCAAACAAAGATGCTAGCAAAACAAAGGATACCAGGAAATACAAAACAAATGGCAACTGGCACACTGGATTTTAATTAGAACGCTCATCAAAAGCACCGTCCCTATGGGGGGATTCTGCAAAACAATGTGACATGCCACTTCAGAAACCTGACCTTGCAAACCTTGTTCAAATACAAGTCTCAGAGCTGGAATGCTGCAAGCACAGAGTCATTCTTTYCTACTTCGTCTGCCCATCTGGAGTTTGTCTTAATGAACAGTGCAGATTGTAAGTACATCATTTACTGGAGAGAAAAATTCCATTTCAGAAAGCACATTTCAGACTACTCTTACCCACAGAAAGTGAAAAGGGCTATGAAGAGGGTAAATTACCTTGACAGCCTGAGCACTGAATGAAGAAGTTGATGAGATCTAGAAGTGCCACATCCCTGTCTTGTTTATAAGCTTCAACCCAGTCAACTACTACAGACTAGAACAGATTAAAGAAGCTCATTAGTCAGGAGATGAATACGGTTTGCTGCACTCCACTGAGGATAYCATAATAAAGACAAAAACTAACATTGTTCCACCCCCATTAAATTACAAAAACAAGAATAAACTCCAAGCAATTCTGTTCCATATCTAATAGCTCTAAAACACTCTCTCAAGTCCKAAACTGCTTTAGACAATGTTGCCTTTCACAGATACTTTGCTTCCTGCTACAGGGATAATAACCACAGTTTTAGTAAGTGTAATATAATTTTTTTTTAAAAAGTTGTACTCCTGAGTTCTTGCTAGCACTGAGGTAACAAYTTTAAAACAAACAAATAAACAAAAACAACAAAAAATCCACACACACATTTAGCCTCTGAACCATCTAATAATTAGTATTTAATTATACTAGCAATTTTCCCTGGAAGTTCTTTTCTTCTCTAGCACTTGATTTGTGCAGTAGGTTTAAAACATAGTACACATAAGCCAAAAAAAAAATCCACCGAATTTCATTTGTAGGATAGTACGTGTAACTGTATAAAAATATTTGGGGCTCCAGACTTTCATACACTTACACAAAGATAATACATGCTCACGGAATATGGAGAGCTGAGCTTCCTCACATTGAAGAAAGTTGCCAGCTATACAGATGCACAGGGAATCTGGCTATTATGCAAGCTGCTGGCAAATTGCATTGGAATGATGGTAAAAGAAAACACCAAAAGGCACACAGGGATGAAAAAGAATAAAACAAAAAAAAAAGAAAAAAGAAAAGCCTGATTTGCACAATGCTGGACAACTAAAATCTGCTACTGATGAACTTCTTCCGCATTTTAAATAATTATCTTTTCATATGTTCAGGCATTGCTTTAGTAAGACTGGTTTCGGTACAATTTCCTTCCTCTTTTTAAAAATACAACAGCTACCTTTTCACTAATTTCTTGAAGTTGCAAGATGTTCTTTCCAAGAGCCACATTYGTAACAGTTTTACAACCAAACATGTTTCTTCCCCACCCAAGCCAAAATTTAAATATTCCACAGTATGAATAATGGAAATGACCACTGTTTATCCATCTGCCCTCCATCAAGTTCTTTCAGAACTCAGTGCTAGGAATACCTGCATGGCCTGCTTCCCCATGCTAACCACTTCAAACAAGGTAACTGCCTCAACCACTTCGCCACTCTGCAGCTGGCTCACTCTTCTGCCACTGGTAGAATTTCTCCTTATGTTTTCACACTGTTCTCGGACCTTCCGCTTCTCTCTCTGAAAAGAGTCAAGCAAAGTATGTGAGAAAACACAACACACAAGAGACATTCAGGCTTGTACACACAGKTACAAATTTATTTTGCTCTTGTAATCATTTCCCCAGGCTGCTCAGTTTTATGCCCCAACAAATCCTTACCAAACATGACCATACTAAAAGGGGGTGAAAGAAAGGATTCACCAGTTTGAATTTTTTCTCTCAACAATGAATCATAAGCATAGGGAGGTATAACAGGAAAGAAGCTTCTGTACAGTTGCACACTACCCAGAAGGCAGTTTTCAGTACAGATGTCATTTCTGAAGAATAGAAAGCAAGCACAGAAGCTCTTCCACATCTTTTCACCCACAGGTTAAACTCTCTACCTGAAAATTAACATCAGCTGCACACAAAGCACAGCAAAGGAAAAGMACGTGCTGAAATGAACCAACTATTCAAAAGCCAGCATTGAGGCTCTGCTACCAAGAGAATTTGAAGGTCAAGCTGTATCCAGTGACTAGCTTTTAGAGGCACTGTGATTGTTGTAGGTAATACTCAATTTTCTAACAAGTGAATGAGACACAAACTCCWCAATTCAAAAGAATTAGAACTTTTAAACTCTTTAAAACTGACTTACTGGTGTTTTCAGGTTGCCATTTCTCACACAGCTGCCATTCTGCGCAGCAGACTCAGGCACAGTCTCATCATGGACAGCATTCTCTCTAAAGTGTAACAAACATATGAAGGGGTTAGCAGAGTACACAGAACTACACACTTCAGAAGAAAATAAAAGCAAATACATGTAATTTAGTATTTTTATTTAGTTGTTTGGAAGTGGTGATGTTTTGTCACCACTTCTGTCTGGTCAAAAACCAAACAGCTAACTTTAAAAGTACAACAGAAATTTGGGGCCTTTTTTAGACTATTGGCTTTTCTGTAAGCTATGCAGATAATTAGAAAACTAACAAAGCTATCAAAGGTGCCAAGAAGTATAAAGTAAATTAAACAGAAAGCTGATGTTGACTTAATGTAGCCTTTGTTGACTTAAGAGCTTTGCACTATGACCCAATAAAATAAGTATGCATTCACTCTGCCCTACGCTAAACAAGGTGGTAACATTTGATGGGTATACACTTTAAAAAGASAGGAAGAAATTGTTTTACTTTGTTAATAAAACATGCTAAAGAAAAAAAGACACATAAAAAACTTCATTTTCTGGTCATTGCTAATATCATGGAAGAATAATTTTATAAAGAAAGATGCACCTTCTGTGAGATCGGAAGCCATACATTTATCTGCAATGAAACCATGCCATTTTTCATCATTCCCAATGCTAACAAAGTGCTTTGYCAAAGGTCATGTTTGAGTAGACGAGCTGGATCCCACTTGTGCAGCAGGTCCAGTACTGGAAGCTGGCTGCAATGGCCTCCTTTTAAACTACAGTGGCCAGGATATGAAGCCAGATGACTTGTGCTACAAGAAGGCACAAAAAGAAAGTAAATATGAGAGTGTACAATTACTTCTATTTTCATGATATTACTACAACAAGAGAGTGTACTAGCACAAGTGACCACTTTACAAATGGAAAATAATACCACAGTCTACTCTCTAGTATCCAGTGCTGGCTAACACACATGGAGAATTAACTGCACCACAGATGCAGTCAGTTCCACTCAGGTTTATCAATGCCAGATAAGCATCCTTATTGCTCTTCTTCCCAAGGTCGTTTTGCAAAGCAATTTCTGAGACTGAGTAGCAACAACTGCAGGACCAAGGTCCTGATGTTACTTTGTTGGTGAGAGCAGACAGAATTTTTTATTTAAACATCTCTGTTTACTTTTTTGATCTATTGAGACACTTCAAGAMGTGATGCAGAATGAGGCTTCCAAGACTCCTATAAAARTTCTGTATCAATATAAAATTGCACMAAAAAATGTAAAACTTCGAAATACAATTATCCAAATGCTTACCTTCCCTACAGAGAAAAGTCCCATGAAAGTTAAATTCCATTAATTACTTGTTATAGAAAAGTTCAAAACATGCCACAGTGTTTGATAGATGGAAGCAAAGARATATTTCAGAATGTACCAATCCTTATACGAGCTGTCCGGACTTCTGCATAAGGAGAGTGGGATAAACTATAGTTTCCATGAGTCAGCATTCTACAAGCAACCATTCAAAAGTTTTCAAATGTCTTCTTTGATTTAAAATTGCAAGCCACTGAGATTAAATATCTCAAGTGCCACCAGAGACTTCCTAGCTGAAAAGAACAAATAACAAGGGACAGCACTATGTATTGCTTTTCTGAATCCAACTGGCTCTTCCCAGAATCTTCTACAGACCACAAAACCAAAAAGAATCCAAACATGTTTGTCAAGGACATGTTTCTCTTACATGATTAAATCCTTTCACTCTTGATTTCAAAGCAGAATGTAATACTGTAGGGCTGGACTAACAGGTTCCTACTTGCACTGTTTCACTGAAACTACAACTCAGGTGCCAGCCAACATCGTAATATGGGTTACCAGTTTCTGCACTGTACCKCAACGTAACACTCAACACACCTTCAAAACATTTTTCTAAAATTGTTTACAAGTACTATTTAGCAACTTACTCCATCCCATAATGAAAATAAATGTGTTGCATTTGATTATCTCAATTATAACTGAGTCCAAGTTGATTTAAAACATTTAAATAATTAAAAAATCAGAACTGCTGCAGGACAGTTCCATCAAGGACTTGTCTGATCACGTACTGCTTTTAGTATCTCTGTCTAGAACATCTTTGAAGGTTTAACTCATGCCTCTCYTTCCCAAGAACATCTTTTGAAGGACAACACTCTACTTGTTATCTCTACTCTACTCTACTGGCCTTGTGGTACTTGCTTAGTTTCTTACACCAGACAAAATTYTCTTGTAGGAAAAGGGACCCAACAAAGTAAGGAAATGCCTGGCATGTGGAACAGTGYTACCAAAGCTCAGCAAAACTTTCAAGAGTGGGAAGACCACAGATCTATAGTTCTTTCACGTTGGGCTACCAATGCCAAATAAAACAGCCGGGGTGAAACCTGTTAGAGTAACTGTCACACATGCAGCTGAATGCTCAACAAATTTAACTAAGCATTAAATAATGATAATACTAATACTAACATGACATTTACTTTCTAAACTGTTTTAGTTACTAGTGCACCACAGCACTATCATAGCTATGCCACAGGAAGCACTGGGCAACACAGACAACTTACACAAAAGTGGAGGATTTTTTAAATCCAGATAGTATAATACTCATGTTTCACCTTTCTCTTCTTTTTTTTTTTAGCTTTTAATATTGGTATTTCCAGTAAGATTTACATAAGGCAGGTACAAACATTTGTAGGACYGGCACCTAGAAACTCAACCCCATGAAACCACTGAGCAATTAAATATTTAAATAGAGTTTTTATTTGCACAACTATGTTTCTGTTGAAGAAACTGTTAAAAGAATTAAGACATTTTCTTATCTTCTCGAGCAAAACAAGAACTACTGCACTTAGTTGAGGAAGACATGGGGATCACTTCTGCAGTGATCCCTATACATAGCTCCATTTAACATCCTTTCAACTACAGAAGTGCAATGGTAGGTTTGATAAATTTTGAACTAGCTGCATGTTTTTTTCCACCCCATGTTATTCTACACCATGTTGAACACTTCTGCATGCATACATTCACWGCCTCATGAACTGGAAGAAACAGCTCTTAGCCATTCAGTTTGCTTCCATCAGCAACCAGTAAGAAAGCATAAGCAGAATGTCATTTGTATTTCCACCTTTATATACTCTGTTACATATGGCTGCAAGACTCATTTTTACCCTGTGTTCCTGTCACAATATGGTGCTTTCACTAACACTTGAAGTATTACTGATAAAATACCTGAAGCATAAAGGAAACCAAGTTCCACATCTAATCCTCAGACACAATACTAYTGAGATAATTTCTGAATTCAGTTTTCTTATCTTAATAAACATTTAGATCCGATTTGGTGACTCACACTTAAAGAGAAAACTTTACCAAAGAGGTAATGTATTCCTTTGGCTGTATAAAAGGAACAATTAATCTCTGTTACTGAAAGAATACTACCTGTAGATTTTCAAAATTATAAATTTCAAAATAACTGATTCACCTTTTAGAAGAAACGTAAGAAGCTCCACTAAGCAACTTCCATGTGCCTTCCTAACACTTCTGAAGCTAAAAGGCTGGTTTCAGGTGAAACAGTGGAGAGGACATATGGGAAGCTATACATGTCATCATGGGCAACAACTCTCAACTTTGATTAGAGCACAATGAAGCAAAATAAGTGGAGCAAACTTGCCCAGAACCTAACAGGATCAGCAAARACTAGGCTGCAATGAGTTCAAAGTGCACTACACTGGACATCTAAGAAGCTTCACTCCTTGAAACCCAACAATAGATGCTGAAATGTTTTAACTTTACYTTTTATTTACTTATATTTATTCTAGTAGAATTTCTAATTACCATTGTGTAAACAACGATATGAATATTTTAGATCATCTCAACTGATGACTGAAAAACACATTATACAAAAGGGAGATGATTTGATGGATCCCTGATAGAAACAATATAAAATACATAGAAGCAACACCCCCATCAATGCCTACAGGGAGCCTACAGAGCACTTAGCACTTTTATCCCTTAGCATCCCCAAATTCTCCACTGAAGGGAACATATGCACTGATAATTAATCTACCCTTATGTTTTTAAGGTAGATTCATTTGCACTATGGCGAGAAAAGCTTGCAAGGCCAAGGTCCCTGTCAAACAGCATAAAGCAATACATTAAGAAGATGCTAAACAGTACATAAAAGGAAATAAAATTAAGATATTAGTAACAATGCACAATGCCCAGCAAATCCCTCCCCCCAAGATGCCACAATGTAGATTGCMGCGGTACCTGCAAGGCATAAACCCAAGGGACAGCACCCTAATTTACCAACAGATTTCACATGCAACCTGTGCGAGGTCTTACTTTTGACTGGGAAGGTTGCTGGCTGCGTTGGGCTCGGCTATCATTTCCGCTACATTATTTCAGCAGCACAAACAAGCTGACACGACCTTCTCAGGAAACTTCACCAAAATCGGGCGCGTTGAAAACTTATCAACCCTTCGGCTTTTGCGGGCAGAACAGCGGCCGAAAACTGTCAAGAAACGCACACAAAGAGACTTAATCCCAGGCAAAGCGAGGTAGAAACACCTCACCCCCCGGACGCAGAACAGGATGAAACATAAAGAAATGAAACCTACCGACAGTGCCGCTATCCGTCACGGGCGCTGGCCGGCGCGGCGGGCCCGGGCTCGGCTCTGTGGTGGCGTCAATCACGGCCGCGGCTGGGCCCGTCAGGGGCGGGCAGCGCTGTCACATGAGCGGGCGGGGGCGCTTCCGCAGCGCCCGGAAAGACGCGGCCGGGGAAGGTCCCGCCCCGCCGCCCCGGGCCCGGCGGTGCCGATGAGGGCCGGCCGCCTGTCGTGGTCGCTGCTGCTTCGCTGGCGGCGGGCGGCGGCGGCTGTGGGCGCGCCTCGGAGCTGCCCGCTGCCCGCCCGCCCGCTCAGCGCCGCCGCTCCGCTCCGGGCCCCCCTGCGCCCGCCGGGCACGGGCGGCGGAGAGCCGTGGAGCCGGGCGGCGGGCTCCGGCGGGGATGGAGAAGAAGAAGAGAAGGAGGATGAGGCGGAGCTGGAGGAGCTGCTGGGCCCGTCTCCGCTGGCCCCGGGGCCCGGCGCGCAGCGCGTTGCCATCGTGCACCCCGCGGTCAAGTGGGGCCCGAAGAAGTCGCCGCTCACCACGGGTGCGGGGCTGCGGGGGACGGGCGGCTCCAGAGCRCTAGGAATGAWTACATCCASGGGATTTGGGATGGACTGCCYTGGGAGGTGATGGAGTCACCGTCCCTGCACGTGTTAAGGCAAAGGCTGACGGTAGCACTCAGTGCCRTGGCTGTTATCATAGGCTGGACTCGAGCATCTCAGAGGTCYTTTCCAACCTGATKGATTCTGTGCCTAGTGGCGGTAGGGTGAGGTGGACCCCATATTATTACAGCAGTGAAACGCGCGAGGTCCTTTTGCGAAGTACAAGCTTGGGTAAAAGGTCTAGGTTGTTCTTTCCTTTTTTTGACAGCGTTTTAGCAGTCTGTCTTGTGCTGGGGACCTCAGAGCTGGATGCAGCACTGCAGGTGGGGTTTCAGCAGAGCAGAGCAGGCAGGCAGAATCCTCTCCATTACCCTGCTGACCATGTTGCTTTTGATGCATCCCAGGACACAGTTGGATTTCTGAGCTGTAGCCATGCAGTGCTGGGTCATGTCCAGCCTCTCATCCACCAACACCCCCACGTCCTTCTCAGCAGGGCTGCTTTSCATCTGTCCATCCCCCAGCCTSTTACAATATACTGGGAGGTTGCCCTAATCCAAATGCAGGACCTTGCACTCATCCTTGTTGAACCTCGTGGGCCCATTTCTTAAGGCTGTCCAAGTCCTTCTGGATGGCAAGAGACAGTTAATGTATGATGCTTATTCTTCTATTCCAATTTACTATATGATGAACCTAAATCTTGTTTAGTTTTAATAGTGCTGCTAATTATAACAAATTGTCACATTGCAGAATAAAGTTTGTATCCTTTTCAGATTCAATGTAAGCACTTCATTTTCTACTGAAAAATAAGTGAAAYGTGGTGTCACCTTCCTGTCTGACCATACAGAAGAATAGCAGTGGTCCCTTTCCATTCGTTTAGGCCCTCCAGACTAAGCCTGAAGTCCAAATAACTTAGAATGATTGTTGAAATGCCACTGATACCACAGGAAATYTGTGTATTTCACAAGAAATATTAACAATATGAGGAGAAAGTGCATCAATATTATCTTTAAAAATACATTTTGTACTAATGTAAGCTATTACCTATATAATTATGTCTTGCTATCTAGAGAAGATTGGCAAATTTGTTCTGAAGAGGAAAAGTTTGACAAATCAGTGCTACATCTGCTGAGCTTATATCCCTGTGTAGTCTTCATGATTTCACAAAGTCCTTACAAATCATTGCTTTGCAACGTAAATGTTAAAAACTCAAAAGTAGCTGGTGAACCAGAATACAGGATTGGAATCTGCTGGTTTTAGCAAGTCACAAACCAGTTTGGGTCCCTTATGAATAAGTGGCTGTGAAGTCGCAGGATATGCCATTTTAGKAATTCCTCAAATATTGCTGCAAAACACCAAAGTATTCATTGTGTGGCTTTGCGCTCATCTGAAATAACAGATTTTCCAGCTAGTTATTCATTTCACTTGTAGAGGAAAAAGGCTTGGTGATTTCTTTCCTGACAATACAATTAAAAATCTTCTACATCAACAACCACAGAAATCTTTTATACTGGCAGACAGATGCTTTGTGTTATCAAATTGCATCTAACTGTTTGATTATTCTGATTAGAGGTAAGACACTTTGTTTCTTGTGCTGTGATAAAAAGAAATACCCTAGTAGAATGTCAGTGTAGCTTAGTCCTTCTATGTTCATGCATATACTGTAGTTATTGGAGATCTGAGCAAAATTGTGATGGCACATTTTAATCTTTATTTCTTTTTTCTATTACTGTTGTGTTCCTGAAGCTGAATTACAGATTGCCGAAGCTGTTGCTCTTGTAGATACTCTTCAGAACTGGACAGTTTTGGATAAAATAATTATTCCTACAAAAAACCCCGACAAGAAGTTTGTTTTTGGCAAAGGAAACTTTCAGGTTTTGACAGGTAAGGACAGATCTTTCAGCAATGCCTCACTCTTTAAGTGGAAGACTTGCAGCCAAACCACTTAAGGCTAAGTGTGAACGCTGAAGGGAGGGAGAATTTTGTTTATCCCTTATGCAGGTTTGCTGACAGACTTTAAAGAACTTTTAAGGTTACAAAAGCAACACAGAATAGACATAATCCCTGCTCACTGAAAAGGTGTGAGGCAACTTAGTCTGTAAGTTTATGTGATTGACACAAGTAAAGCTGATGYTTCTTCTTGGCACAGACTAAATTAGCAATTACAACTGCTTTATGAACAAAGAATATGGTGCCATTTGATGTTTTATGAGCATTCTGCTCAGTGCAGAATGGTTTGTAGTCTGGGCATTTTAAAAAGAGAATTGACATTTTACACTGTGTTTTGCAATCATTATCCATCTTTTAGAAAAGATTAAAAAAATGCCCCAACTGACAGCTGTCTTCTTGAATGTGGAAAGAATATCTTCACTAACAAAGGTAATTAAACATAAAATCATATTCTTTGCATCACTATTGTTTGGAAGCTATTGATGTTATGAGAAGTGGTCAGTTAAGACTCTGAATTTGCAGATGGTATCATATGAAGGCACCCGGACTGAGTTTTGTTGGAAGGAATCTTAATTCCTATTGCATTTGTCCAGTTATGTGTATATTTCTAGCTCTTGTGCATTAAATGTTCCAGCAGCTTAGTGTAATTTATTACAGACTCTGCTCCTACGTTTGCCATTCGCCCCTTTTTAAATGTTGGAATAGTAAGTAAAGGTGCTTTTTACAAAATGGTGCTGTAAACACAGCTTTTGTTGTGAAAAATGTCAATGTTTTTCTACATTAGCTATGTGCTCCAGTGTGTGTACTTATGTTAGCATATTTATTTCCCTATTCTGTGGACACTGAATTGTGTTTTGAATATGAGGTGTAAATTCATGGGGTGCAGCATACTTCAGTATTTTAACACTGGCAGTAAAACAACTGGTACATGAACTACAGATACTCTTAGACAAACTGAAATAAATACTTTTTTTTTGGTTTTTGTATGTACAGTATCATGTGGGGTGTAAAGTGTATGCAAACTCTGCAAGCAAACATTAATGCTTTGCTAGTAGTTTTTAATGCTTTCCCTGATTATAAAATGAAGAGATGACAAATACCTCTAATAGATGGCTATCTCCAGTGTTTCCATTTGCTGGTTTCAACAGAAATTGAAAATGTTTCATTTCAATTTCCTAGTTTTTAGGAAACTCCTTTATTTTATAGTATGAGGTCTTTTAGTGCTAGATTTGCTGAATTTTTTTTTCTTTTCACAAATTAGGATCTTAAGAACAATTAAACAAGGCTGATTCAAGAAAGTGTTTGAGAACATATATACAACAAGCATTGTGGATTTTAGAGATGGCATAGGGGAACTACTGCATACTTTAAGTGTCTTTTGATGAAATAGAGCAAGRGTGGGGGGTTTGGGTTGTTTGGGGTCTTATTAAGTATTTCATTGAAAGCTTGCTATTAAATCATTTTCCTGCGTTCCTCTCTTGTTTGTTTGTGTACTTCTTCTTTTCCTATGTTATCCCTATCCATTTCCATTCCAGAATTTCATAACTATTTTTTACAAGAATTTAACCACTGACATTCTTGATTCTGAGATACGCTGTAAGACAAGAATCCATAAAGGGCACTGGAAGGATTCTTGCTAGATTTTATGGGTCTAGACATAAAGGTGTACTTTTTAAACTCTCTTTAACACTTTTCTTCGTAGTCAATCAAATTTTGACTTTGCATGCTCATAATGATTGCCCATCCATTGAAATGGAATTCTGGGATCCTCTGAGTTCAAGTGTCCATGAACTTACTAACCATACTTGCTGTGTMGGAATTGATCTAGTGATGCTCTGGGGGACCAATCAGACATCATGGTTATTTTGTCTTACATGGCTAAAGAAAGAACTAGAAGATGCCTGGGGCGTGAAAGTCCTTGACAGATACACTGTGGTACTTCACATTTTTCGTTGTAATGCCCGGACAAAAGAAGCAAAACTGCAGGTAGCATTGGCTGAAATTCCACTTCTCAGGTACTTTGAGCTGTGCAAATCACATATTCATATCTACATGTTTTATGACTCCTTCTTTACAGTAACAAAAACCAGCAATACTCACTGTAAGGAGAAGATACATAGAGTGCTCAGTGATTGATTAGAGCGTAGAAATATTTGCTATAATGTCATTGCTTTAAGCTTCCGCCCTGCTGACAGGCAAACCCAGAATGTGTTCAATAATCTTACAAAATGTATTACTCATGAAAAGGTCCCAGTTCTTTCTAAGACAGAAGATGGATTGCAAGAATATGTAGGAATTGGATATGTGTATGCCATATATAAAATGGCTGGGTTTAAACAGGAAAGCTATAAACAAGGAAGGTTAATTTAAATTTTCCATGTTTCTGCATTATGTGGCATAGAAACATGTGTATGGCAGTTGGTGTGAATTGTTTGGATATGTCAGTGCTACCTCTGGCTTTCTGATATTTGAGAMTAGCAATTAGAATTTACCAAGAGARTTGTATGSTTTTTCAARCTACAGTTGAGCCAGGAAAATYTGGATTTTTTTCTCCAGGCTTCTTGCCATGAGCAGT